GTTCTGACAAATCGAACTTTAAATTTTACAGGTATGGGCATTGGCTGTTGGAAAGAAGACAGAAATGATTGCAACTGGTGGAGGCGATGCAGTTATTAATTTGTGGCATGATTCAACCGCTTCTGATAAAGAAGACGAATTCCGGAAAGAGGTCTGTCATATTCACTAATTAACTAAGTTTTAATAGTCGTGGAGCTTTGTCATGTGTCCTTGTTCCTTAGTCTGACCATCATCTTGGACCACCTCTTCCGTTGTACAGGAAGAAACAATCTTGAGAGGTCAAGAGCTGGAAAACGCAGTGTTAGATGCTGAATACACTAAAGCCATAAGATTAGCGTTTGAGCTTCGTAGGCCTCACAAAGTTTACGAGCTTTTTGCTGGGCTCTGCAAGTAAAGCCATCCAAAAACACACAACGCTTACTTTTTCTCGATATTAATTGTCTCTTCCTTTTCTTACCTGAAAATTGGTGTAAACAGGAAAAGAGAATCAGACGACCAGATTGTGAAAGCTCTTCAAGGACTTGAAAAGGAAGAGATACGCTTACTTTTTGAATATCTCCGAGAATGGAACACAAAACCAAACCGATGCCACATTGCTCAGTATGTTCTTTACCAAACCTTCAACATCCGTCCTCCCACAGAAATCGTTCAGGTTTGGTTTACATAAAAAAAGTCAAAGATCAACAGCCGTAAACATTATTTTCGGTTTCGTTTGGCTTGAATCGCAGTGATTTTTTTCCAACAGGTTAAAGGAATTGGAGAACTCCTGGAAGGTTTAATCCCATATTCTCAGAGACATTTCAATAGGATGGACAGATTTGTAAGAAGCAGTTTCTTGTTAGACTACACACTCGGTGAGATGTCTGTGATTGATCCAGAGACTGAGACAGAGTATCCTAAGGACAAGAAGATCGAAGAAGAAGAGGTCATTGGTTCTGTGTCAGCAATGGAACAAGACGTAGACCAAAAGACTCCTTCGAGGAAACGGAAGTCTCAGAAGTCAAAAGATAGATCGAACAAAAAGAGACTCATTGCGGAAGCTCAAGGAAATGTAATCGCAGTCTAAGTCACTGCTTCAGTCGCATGCGTTCAATGGCGCATGAATACATTAAAACCTCTGTTGAGTCTTTGAAAATTTATGATTTTATAGAGATTATGTAATACAAAATTCCAGTTTTGAGTTAATCTTCGAAAATTATTATTCAAATTATATTATATCAAAGAATTTAGATCAATTAATTTGTATGCATGACTTTAAATTTACATTATGCGTATTTGAGTATTTCCATGAAATTTAGGCCATACATACTCCCCTAAATGAAAAAGATTATCTTTCCTAGTTGACAAAAAAAAATCTATTCAATTTTGTGTTTTTCTTTCTATAGTTTTTATTTTTATTTCACGTCATGGGATAATGGGAACAAACTTTATGAACTACGTAAAATCGGCCAAATTAATATATTATTTGCTCGTAGAATTAGAATTTGTGTAAATGTGCAATACACGTCGTCATGCATCATATCTTATGATTTCATCAGGATTTTCACTCCCTCGTCACCATTATTCTCCCTTTTTTATCACCTTTTTTATGCTTGATTTCTTTTCTCATATCTCTAGTCCCTATAACATGCAATGTACAATTATAAATTCAACATAGAGTACGTTTTATAAATTTCCAGTTCATAACTTGGGACATGTCCCACATACACATCACATGAATTGGTAAAATCAACTCTTGCAGCGAAATATGCGAACCCGATATATTCATTTATATGTATTTAGGTTATCAAATAATTAACTTGGAGAAACTTGTAGATTAGTCCTGAAGATTATAGAGAAGGGAGAGACACTCTAACCAAGGTTTAGTCTTATGAGTCGTTCTAGAAGCTATCCTAATGTAAGCTTTGAGTTTTTCACCAGTGTGTGTACATCTGGATTTGGTTCTAGTTAATGCCTACATCATCATATATTATGCATATAGAGATACCGTAGAATATGAAACTTCGAATCATTTTTTGACATGCGAAACCAGCAGTTCATAATTTTAACTTAATCAGAATTAGACATTCTAATCAACGGTATGTTGGTTTAATATTGATTTGATCCTTCTAGTCGCCTAAATAAAATTAAGAAATAAATCATATAGACAGAATTGAAGATAATTACACTCAAAGGTATCAAAATTATTAAGTTGGAGCACAATCAGATTCAATTTAAACCACTTTCTGGTATCAATCATCATTTTGAATATTTTATATTATATGGTTAGAAAATAACGTCATAAGAAAAATATATGCCGAAAAAGCTCTTTATGTATCTATTGAATTGTTCATACCATCGGATGTATTTTACAATATACGGTTAATGGTTATGTCCTAATCACCAGTATCAAGCGATTGATTCCGGTATAAGATTAGATCTAATTTTCTAGAAAGAAAACTACTAAGTTGCATAGTATTTTCATATACAACATTATAATAAGAGTCTATTTCTTCTATATATATGTCATGATTCACTTATTAAGAATGTCTGACGTATGGACAGTGCCCTCAAACGTGAGATATGATTCCTCCTAACCCACTTTCCAATTCCATTGGAAGGCCAAACGAATATACTTAACAATGTCTTTAAAATTGTTATTAACATATTTTTCATTGTACAGTGCGTCAAGTTTTCTACTACATATAACAGCATGTACTCCTTCTATCTGTAACAAATAAAAAAAAACAACATATTCAACTGATTAATAGTAAATAAGCTCAAACGTTAGATTGTGACTGCGTAGTAGAATCATGTCGGGGACGATGATGTGCGTTGCGTGTGTTGAGGAAAATAAAGGGTGTGATTGTGACCACGAGAAACCGGTGGGTTTAGGTCAGACCTCTGAGAATTGTTCATTTATCCATTCTGTTATCAACATGGTTGGTATGCTCATTGGTACGTACTTGATCATTTATATTATGACGATGGAGCTAATGTATTATCTTGTTCTTGAATAATATATGAAAACTGTACATATACTTTTATTTTTGTAAGTTCGTACTTTCCTTTTCATTTTTCTAACAGAAACTGTTTTACTCAAAGTTATTATGATCATTTTACCGTCTACAACGTAGCAACTAGCACACTATCGAATTTGAACGTATGACAAATTACAAGAATACAAATATTAAGTTACAAACGCAACATTTAAATGTATAAATTTTGATCCCATGTGAAACATAGAAGTTTCTAAATCCGAACATAGTTGTACTATTATAAGAAAGAAACCAATATAAGCCTACTCTGACGTCATGTTTCTCCGGTAATAATAGGACTAGGCCAACTATCAATGCCGTACGCCGTCGAACACGGTGGTTGGATCTCAATCTTTCTTCTCATATCCTTCGGAGTCCTCACAACTTACACCTCCCACATCCTCGGAAACTGTCTCCGCCGCAACCCCAAATCAAAATCCTACTCCGACATCGGCTACTCCGCCTTCGGCCGCCACGGCCGCCTCATAGCCTCCATCTTCATCTACCTCGAGATCTTCATGGCCTTAGTCTCTTACACCATCTCCCTCCACGACAACATCTCCGCCGCTTTTCCCGCCACCTTTACTAACTACCACAACGGTTCTTTCCCGGCGGCGAAGCTGACGGCGGTGGCGGTGGCCATCGCTTTGCCGAGCTTGTGGATCAGAGATTTGTCTTTCATTTCGTTTCTATCCTCCGGTGGGATTCTTATGTCGACGATTATATTTGGGTCGGTGGTTTACACGGCACTATTTGGAGGCGTTGTAGACGTTGGGAGGATTCCGGTGCTCCGGTTAGGGAATATTCCGACGGTTTCGGGAATTTACTTCTTCGGCTTTGGTGGACACATCGTATTTCCTAATCTGTATACTTCCATGAAAGATCCCTCCAAATTCACAAAGGTACGTTAGCTCTATATAGCCTAATTATAACCCTTTTTATTCTCTTTTTAAAAGTTATTATTTCGATTGAGTGTTAATTTATAAATTTATCTTTAGAAAAAAATTAGCATATTTTTCATAGATATGCATGGAATTAACAATTTACATTAGGGTGTGTTTTTTTTTTTTTTGTAAATGCTTTTTCTCGAAAGGATGTTCTAATAAAAATCACGAAATGCATGTATATTACAATGCGTTGTCTTAGTATGTAATAAAAATCTTTTTGTTTTGTCGGCATAAACCCTTAATGTACGTTGCATGTTAAGTTAATATTGAATATACGCAGGTATCGATCGTAAGCTTTGCTACGGTGACGGCTCTGTACACAGCGCTAGCCATCACAGGAGCGAAGATGTTCGGACCAACCGTTAATTCCCAAATTACCCTCAGTCTTCCAAAAAATTTACTAGTAACCAAGATCGCTCTTTGGGCCACTGTACTAACCCCAATGACCAAATACGCTCTGGAGTTCGCTCCTTTAGCCATCCAGCTCGAACGTGGCCTTCCTTTGACCATGACCGATCGCACCAAGCTCGTAGCTCGTGGTCTTGTGGGCTCCACTCTGTTACTAGTCATCCTCGCATTGGCTTTGACCGTACCTTACTTCGGTTATGTCTTGAGCCTCACGGGATCGTTGGTTAGCGTCACGATCGCTGTCATATTACCGTCTGCTTTCTACTTGAAGATTTGCTGGGACGGGATGTCGAAATTCACAAGAGCCGCGAATCTCGTGTTTGTTGTTTTCGGGTGCGTTCTTGGAGTTTTGGGATCGTTTGGTTCCTCCAAGTTGCTTGTGAAAGAGCTTGTTCGCGTTCATGGAGGCTGAGCCTTTTTTTTTTTAAAACCGCAGTTTGTTGTTGCGGTTAGTTATTAAAGCCTAATAAAAGAAAAACACATTGTCGTTAAAATTGTCGTCTACACTCTCCAAGGTCTCGCACGATTTGTTCCTTAGGATCGGTGATTTCGGATTTCGTGTCACGCAGTTTGTTATTGCGTCCTTCGATATCATCGCAGATTCCAAACATAACACGGCCAACACAGCAGCTTTTAAGATGCATCATATACAACTTCTATATATTATTATTATGTATACACTGTTATGATAAGTTGTATCTAAAAAATACACTATACTAGGTACAGAAGATCTACACATGGGGTCTTATGCTTCCTACTTACAAGACTGAATCAGAGGATGTCCCCACCTTTTTTACTTTTTATCTACTCCTTTCTGTATCCTTCGGCGCACCGTAAATCAGTTTTCACTCTGTTAATCACAGAGAGGGCATGTGAGCACAAAAAGCCTTACCTTATTGTTTTGGCTTCTTCTTCTTCTTCTTCTTAATTATATTTCTGCATCTTGGTCTCTGGAGAATGTCTGGGATAAAGAGCAAGTGCCATCGCCAAAGAGACCACAAAACCAACCACTCCGCTAAAAGGCTGTAACGGGCGGTTCCCTGCGATCCAAACTGGGGAACTCGGGTTGTACGTGAGGAATCCACCTGTGTGTAGTACAAAGCTTGCTGCTATCATTCCTGTTCGCAACCCTATTGGAACAATCAGATTCCCTTGGCTTCTTTCACGAGCCCCTGCGAGCCCCAACGACAGAAGCCATAGCCCTGGAATTGATCTCAGGGATCTGGAAAATTCCACAAGAACAAACAAAAAAAACACTTGAGTATCTAATCTCAGAAAGAGTTCAGAGCGGCTTACGTATGACTAGAGTATAACATACGCAACTCTTAACGGTAAGATACTCAAGAGAAAAAAAGATAGATACCTCTGGAACAAGGCAAATACGAGCCCTGTAATGATAATGCTTTGATGGTATCCCATATCTATAGCAATCTCATTAGGCATCCATGATCTGAAGAGCAACTCTTCCACAAATACAACAAATGTCGCAGCTGTGAATCCCTTGACTATCACAAGAAGTAGCTGCACGGATCCCTTAAGCCACTTCATGGCGTCGAAAGGATGTGGAAGATATGGTGGCCGAGATAAAATCGCAGCTCCTAATATTGTATTTATAGACTGTATTAATAGAACGACTATGACTCCCCCTGCCAAGGCCTTCAAAAACTCTTGAATCTGCCAAGGAATGAACTCGCAGTATCATTTCTACTGTACTTTTAATAGCATAGTCTATGGAGGTGAAGAAAAGGAGAGCATGTAAAGTTCAGGGAAAAAGAAAATCAAACTATTCTGAGGTCAATATTACGTTTAATACCTGTTTTTTGACTGATGACTTGAAATCAAGCCCATATTGCTTAAATGGGTTTTCATACTTCCGTACTCTCTTTCCCCACAGCATGACAAGAATAAAAACAGCAACATAGAGGCCAACCACACTAGCAAGTTCCGCCATTCTAGATGGAGTACTTGTGGACCAGCTCTGTAGAAGTGTTGGAAGCAATGGAATCACCACCGGTGACCATAAAACGAGTACCATTCCAACAAAGCCCACAACCCTAAGAAACAGAAGAAGAAAAAATGATACATAGGAGAATCATTAGGACCAGCTAATATTAACAAGAATCAGAGGTTATGGTTCTAAAATGACAAGAGTATGGAATCATTAACATGGCTGTTCTCATAAGAGAATATAACGTATAAAGAACGAAGAATTCACTCACAACCATGTAGTGAAGTATCTAGCGTACTAAGAATGAAAATTTTACTTGCAAACGTGTAGTGAAGAATCAGATGTTCTCCTATTTGCTTTTCAATAATAGGTTAAAACACATCCATAGTTCAACGTTCATTTCATTTAAGATTCCTTTTTCCACAAGACTTACACCAGTGAAAAACTTGCTGCCAAGGTCGTAAAAACTAAAAACCAACAGTTACAAAAAAATATATCTATCCAAAATAAATAAAAAAAAACATATGCTAATGGAACTGGTCTGATTTTTTGACTTTTGAAAATTTAGAAGACTCTACTTCAAACCCAATCACATAAGTTGCAAGATAGTGGAAAGAATCAAAACAAGTACTTAAGAGTGGAAAGCAGCTTACCTCTTCAGTAAGGGCCACTCATCCATACGCAGAAATTGGATTAGTTTATCAGTTAGACTCATAGCACCACGAAGGCCACCCCAAAGGAGGGCAAGTTTCCCAACTAGCCTCAATATGCCACCTCTCTGACCCAAATCTGCCAACATTGTCACAATCCTGTTCACATGAAAAACCAAGAGATTTCAGATCAGGAAGAGACTCAAGCACAGATATAGAAGAACTGATTTGTCTACATTATAATACCTTTCTTGATCCACTTCACCACTTTCCTTTGTTGGAACCGCAGGACCAGCTATGGACATGGCTTTCTCAGCAAAACTTGCCACCATACCGCCCTGATCTTTCTGTTTACTTCCTTGCTCCGATGGTTTAGACATGATGCCACCGCTTTGTGGATCCTGTGCAACATGCATTAAATTATAAAAGGGGAACATGTTTGTATAGTCCTTTATTTTAATATATATTCATCTGAATGCTAATGTCAAACAATACCTCATGCTGAACCAGCATAGCAGATGCACCCAGAGCAGCTGTCACAGCACCAACCATAACAGGCTCATTGCTGATATTTTGCAAGCCAGATTCCATCATTTCTCCAATGCTCGAATTCTTCTCTTTGCTCTTCTGGCTCGTTTTGGTTGGCACAACACTCTTTGTTGCACCATTGTTCCCATATTCGTGTGCTCTACCCCTGACAATATCTCTCTTAGCGTCGTCGGATGTTGTAGATACATCGAAATATTTTCTCAGAGCAGCTAAAACAGAGCCAACAACAACACCAACAGGCAATACTTTCCTGAGAAAATGTGCCTCCTGAACAGCACATGAAATTGCCCTAATGACAGCGTCCCCACGAAGTTTCCCTACTTTTCCAGCAGGAATGTTGGAATTTTTGCTATTCCTTTCGTAAGTCCAAGTGGGCTCTGAATATACAATACCAAAAGAAAGTGTATTTGCTACCCTTTCTATATCTCGACTGAGTTGAGACTTAAATTGTCTCATGCCAGCTGAATTCATCCTGCGTTGAACTTCTATATTCAAAGAGTCTGATACAATAACTTTTATGAGATGCTCTAATTCATCACACCCTTTATCTAATTTGTGAAGACCGTCACTTTGATCGTCCACTGCATCACGCTGTTCAGAGAGCTCCACCTCTTGTTCATGGTCCAATATCACATATGAAGGCTCAATGATGTTCTGTTCATTACTTACACTAGGTGAATGAACCTGAACATTTCCGTGCTTATCTCTGCTAGCTGCTGCATTGTCAGCAACATTACTCAAGTATTCTGGTTGTTGATCAAGGAGCTTCCATTCACCTTCCTCTGGATAATAATCGAGCATGAGTGCAGTGGTTGTATCTAAGTCTAATTGTTTTGCAATCTGATCTTTTGAAAGTTCCTCACCAAGGTAACCATCATTAGAAGAATTCTCGAGAGAATCTGCCTTTCTTGCAGGCAAAATCTTTGGTAGATGCGTACCAATCACAGATTCATCAGAATTCTCGAGAGAATCTGCATTTCTTGCAGGCAAAATCTTTGGTAGATGCTTACTAATCACAGATTCATCTCCGCCCAGATGCTTTTCATTTGTCACCCAATTTGTCTTATCATCGTCAGAACCTTCGTTTTTGTAGGGAGTTTCCTCTTCAGATGGAGCTATTATCTTCTTATCCGTGACATTCTTCTCAGATGGAGGTCTTAGCTTCTTATCCGTGACATTCTTCCCATCCGTGGCATTCTTCTCATCCGTGGCATTCTTCTCATCTGTGACATTCTTCTCATCCGTGACCTTCACATCACTTACCTCATTTCCTTCTTTCTTTTCTTCATCCAGCTGAGTAATCATATTTTCGAGCACACCGAAAACACTATTGACAGCGACCTGAGTTGAATCATCCATCCCCGTCAGTGCTTCAAATGCTTGGGAAACATTAAGTTTGGGCTGTCCTGGTTCCTGAATTGCTGGCTTAGTTTGGTCAGATACAGGTTGCATAATGTTGGTTTCTTTGTTCTGATCATCATTTTCTTGTTTCTCTACAGATTGCGAAGATTGTCCAGCATCTCCTTCGTTGTCAGTAGATGCCACCTTGTTTTGGTCGGTGGCAGACTGTTTTTTGTTCTCATCGTTTCCACTGGTTTCCTCTTTTCTTGGTTGCTGAGCTAATACAGCACCTTGGTCCACTTTGTCTTCATTACTAGTAACATCGTCTGCACCAATTGGCTGCCCTTCGTTGGTACTATCAACTTTTGTATCTGAAGCCTTCTCAAAACCATCAGCTGCACTGGACTTTTCGTTGGCCATTGGTGCTCCTTTCTCCTCATTTTTATTAGTTTCCTCCTCTGTTTGACTCTTGGCCTTTACAGATGCTTGGTCCACTTTGTCCTCATCACTTGTTCCATCCTCAGTGCCAATTGGCTGCCCCTGGTTGGTAATATCAACCTTTGCTTCAGAAGCCTTCTCAAGATCATCAGCTGCACTGATCTTTTCATTGGCAGATGACTCGTTATTTCCAACACTATCATCATTACCCTTCTTAGTCACGACAGAACTATCATCCTGATCACTGTCGACAGGTTGGGACTTTCCATTATTACCGTCTTTCTCGGAAGCCTCGGAAGAGGAATGCTCATGTTCTGTTCCACCAGCAGAAATGTCCGACCCACCAACATCGTTATCTGAGGATACATTCACCAAACCATCGCTCTTATTTATCGGATCAGGAGAATGAGAATCCTTTTGACCTGTGGGACTTGATGGTTCTTTCTTTGCTTCCTCCACTTTTTTCATTCCGGGTGATAAATTAGGAAGCTTAAGCTTTTGAAAATTTAACTTACTGCCAGGTGACTGCATGATCTCAGTTACAGCTGTTGTTAGCTTCCCACGAACTTCTTCTGGCACGGCATCTTGCAAAGCTTTAACAACTGTCTCTCCTCGACCAACAGCATCCATAACCTAGACATTTACTGAATAATTGTCAAGCAATTGTTAATGCAGCGACCACAGTAAAACTTGTAACAACAATTATAACTTTTGGCACGTTGGGTGTTACCTTTTTCTTCTCTTCAGCTTTCAGGGTGCCAGGCATGGTTACATCAAGCATATTCACGACCACTTCTGCAGTCTGCAACACCTGGCCTCTTTCACTTTCTTCCTCATTGGATTCATCATCTTCGACAGGACCGCTTGTTGAAACTCCACCGTTTTCTGGTTCATCAGATCCACTATCGATTTTGACATTCTTCTCCAACTCTGTTCCAGAGGACAAACTAGAATTTGAGGTGATGTCACTGTCTTCAAGTGTTTCCCTGGAAGGATCTACAGGGTAACCATTCACCGTCTTTCCCCGAGCTACCTGCGGGAGCTTCTTGGCAGTGATACCCTTTTCAAATGCCTTGGCTTCCGAAAGAACTAAGCCTTTTGAAGGGTTAACAGTAACATCCACGTCTTTCAAAAGAGGATGGCGACCTTTCAGAAGCCCAAGCTCTACAGCAGTCAACCACTGCATGGCCAATATAGGAAAATCAATCTCTCAAACCTAGAAAGTGAATGTAACAAGACAGTCAACTAAGAATTAAAGAAAACAAAACTTTCCCATGTAAGACAAAAGGACTTGCATAGTATTTGCATTTTAATCAGAAAATTATCCAAAATTTTCTGTATGACAAAATAAAAAGAGTGATAACCTGGATTCTTAAATTACATGGTGACCAATGCCAGCAGATCATAGTATAATTTTACGGTAATTGTGAAACTTTCACTGAAAAAAGGAAATTAGATGTGTATATGCATGACTACGCGTGCATGTGAGAGAGAAAGATAGGGAGAGAAATTGCCTCAATCGCAAGGTCCTGGCACCAAGACACGGCCACTCTACATCCATCGGTCAAACTTGGTGAAGAAGAGCACAGAAGCAGACTTGTAAATGGGTTTTCAGCTATCGAACTACGCGGTGTTGAATAAAGTGGCACTACATCGTCATTCTGACATATATAAGCAAATTTCGTGAGTCAAAATATGTACAACACTATTCACGGAAGGGATTCGAGAGACCAATTTCAGACTATCTAGACGTTTACATGCCAGAATATCCACCTGTATAAAGAGGACAGGAACTTTTACTTCCCCAATCACATCTCTGGTGGCACAACTGGAATAGAAATCTTCTACACTCTCGAAACCATCTGTCACCATGGATAAGGCTTTGTCAAAGTCACGGACTGATTTTGAAGCCAAAGCTTTTCCAACATCAAAGGCATTTGCTCTGCCTTGGAAAAGTTCCTAGAAGTAGAAGGTATCCATTAGCAAAACCCAGTCAATAAAAAAAGAAGAGCTCACTCAAAGTAAGTCCATTTCATAAGCAAGAACCAACCTTGTTTGCCAGAAGTATCTCTACCAATCCACCTGTAAGCTGACGATCTAAACTAGTAGAATAAGGAGACGTTCGTGTGATCTCCTCAAGGTCAAAGGGAGTATCTATGCATACAGCAGCTGTAAGAGGTGTTTTTTCCCCGGCTTCTGCCAGGTACTTTGTCAGCATATTTGCACCATATCCCATGCCAACACCCATTAGTGTCGTCCACGGCCTTGTCTTGGTTAAGAACCGCATAGCTATGGATACATCATCACTATCAGCAGCTGTGAATATCCTACAGAATCAAACACATGTTTTTGCTTAGATCTTCAAGTCGATTATAATCCACTAACCAATAGAGTCACAGAAGAAGCTAGTGGGAAAGAGAATGCAGCTCACCGAGGTGTAGTGAGAGGCGAAGCAGCACATCCTCTAGGATTCATCACCACCGGAAACACGCCCTGCCGCAGAGCCTCGCTTACAAATGAGCGAACGCCTTCATCCATGCTTCCTTCCGGCGTTCCGGGGATCAGAACCACAGTCGTGTCCAGCCCCCGCTCCTCCTTAAGATCCAAATTCGCCGGCCAGTCGAGCGAAACAACGCCGCCGTCCTCTGTACTGATGCAGACCCTCTGATACTCCAACGGCTTCTCCTCCTCCGCAGCTTTTTCGGACCTTGCGATCTTCCCGCTCTCAGGAGTGCCGAAATGCCTATCTTCCTTCACGAGCCTATCGCTCAGGCTCTCTAGAAATTCGCCGTCTCCGCCGTCAAGATCAAACGAGAGCAGAGAGCACCGGAGGAGAACAAATCTGTTGAACGGCGTGGGGCTGGTGAAAAGGATCCACTCCCCAACAACTTCCTCAACGCTCCTTTTACTTCTATCACTGATCCCCAAAGACCTTCCAAATAGCCTTGTGGACAGAAAAACCGCCAAGCCGGAAGCGAAGCCGGCAACAGAGGGAGCTAAGGAATCGAGAGGAACGCTGCCATCGAACGGCGGAGGAAAAAACGAGGAATTCACTAGAACTAAGCTCCGACTCTGTCGCTTGAAACGAGCACGCTTCCTGTGAAACACACCGAAGCCGTAAGAGCTCCGGCGGAGCATGAATGGAGACACGGTGGGTATGGAGGTCAGGGGTTGCCTCGCCGGTGGAAATTGAATAAAATTGGAGGGAGAGGACGATGAGTACATAGCTTAGTACAGAGAGAGAGAGAGAGAGAGATTGAGAACGATTTTACAGAAATGTTAACCCCACCAAAAAGACAGAAGGAGAGAGTTCGAGAGAGAGAGAGAGATGAAAAAGGTTATCGGAGGAGATTGTGACATGAACGGCTCGTTCTCGAGGGGTGTGATCGTTCTATTTCCAACCGTTAGATTAACTCTCATTGATACGACAGCCGTCAGATTTTAGGGATGTGATCACTTGCTATTTTTAGCTAATCTTGCCAAACTATTCAGAGCCTTTTCTACAAACATATTAATGACGTAATGAGCTTGTCGTAGAACAGTAGAAGTGAGTCACACTTGGAGGGTTTCTGCGTGTGATCAACCCAGCTTGAAGATGTCGAAGTTCACAAGATTGTTGGAGTTCTGGGATCGTGTTTGGTTCCTCCAAGTTGCTTGTGAAAGAGCTCGTTAGCGTTCACGGAGGTTGACTGGTTTCTTGTTGTTGCGGTTAGTTATTACATTAAGTAAAAGAAAAACACAAAGCCTTTACATTAAAAAGATCGAGACACACTTTTGTTTTTTGATTTGGGGGGTCAAAAGACACATTGTTGTTAAAATCGTGAAGAAGAAAAGAATCAAGAACCAACAAAGATATATATATATAAAGAACACTGATGAAATCAAAAGGGTGTACAGATATATATGTTTTTATACTTATATAATAAGGCTTTACTTTTTTTTCCTTACCTCCAAGAGTTTGTTATTTCGGGTTTACGGGTGCTTTCTTCTTGAGAAGATTCCCAACTTTACCAAGTAAAGTCTTCTTCTTCTTCATCTTCTTCTCCATCACAAGCTGGTCTTCTGCGGTTATAGCGTTTCCGGTTTCATCGACGTTCTCTGTCGAGGTTTTATCGCTTTCATCCATTTTGCTTGAATCTTCTTCTTCTTCTTCTTGAGACTCTAGTTCTGCTTTCTTCTCCGGAAACGCTTCTTTCTTCTCGATTTGGCAACTCTCCCACATTTTGAATATCACTTCAACCGAATCATCCTTGTCATCATCTGGAGTTTCTTCTTCTTTCTTCTCCTTCTTCTCGGTTTTCGCCTCCGGTTTTCCATTCACGTCTTTCTCCTCCATACCATTGCCATTGCCATTGCTGATATGTTCTTGTGGAGCTTCGTGATCAATGGTTTCAAATTTAGGAGTCGTCTCTTCTACAACACTTCTATGACCGTTCTCAGAAGAAAACTCAACCACTTTCGGTAGCAAATCATAGTCTTTTTCGCTTTCACTGAGCTCGACGTTCTCCTCTTCCGCTTTCTTCTTGGCCAATATCGCTTCCTCCAGTAACTTCGATAACTCCTCGATCTTCTTCAGAGAAACATCCTCCTTGGCCCTCAGATCCTCGTTTTCGTGAATCACGCTTTGAAACTCAGTTTCTTTATCCAACAGATTCTCTTTCAGTTTCATGCTTTCAGCTTTTGCTTCCCCGAGAGTTTCCTGAAGATAAACCACCTCGTCTTCCACTTCCTTTAGACTGTCTTTCGTCTGAGCTTCTTTCTTCCAAGCTGCATCGGCTTCTTCCTCAGTTCTCTTCAGCAAATTATCCAACCTATTCATTTCTTTCCCCAACGAAGCAACTTCTTCTTCCATTTTCTTCACGTAATTCACCAAGTTGGCTTCTTTCATCTCCCAATCTGTCTTCGAGCTCTCGAAATGTTTCTTGGTTTGTTCGACCGCACTAACAAGAACATCAATCTCATGTCTCGCCTCATCAAGCATATTCTCGTACTTCTCGTTCGTCGCTTTAATGACCAGCTTCAAGTCTTCTATTTGTGTTTCATACTCGTGATCTCCTTGACTCATCAACTTCTCTTTCAACTCCCTTCCTTCACTCGACACTTCGTGCAACGCCGAAGCTAAACTCTCCATTGCTTTCTTACTCTTCTCCTCTTCCTCCTTTGAGCTTTCCAGGTCTGCTAAGAGCTTCTTCTTCTGTTCCAAGAGCCTTTGAACACTTAACGTAGCATCTTTCTCCTTATTTAAAGCCCGATTCCTCTCCTCCTCAGCAGTTTCAAGCTCATGCTTCAAGTTCTCAACTTCTTTTTTAGTCTTAGCCAATTCTTCTTCTACATTTCCCAACCGTTGTTCAGACTCCTCAAGATCCTCCTTTTGTCTAGCAAATGTCGTCTCCAGCGTCACGATTTTCTCCTTAAGATCAGTGATTTCAGATTCCCTGTCATGCAGCTTATCATTGTTTCCTTCGAGTTGTTTCATCACAGACTCCAAAGATAAAGATGCAGATCTCTCCAACTTGTTAGCTTCTTCTAGCTGTTTCTCCAGTTCTTCAACTTTGCTCTTCAACTCCTCGGATGAGCTCTGTGCACAAGATTCTGCCATCTTCGCAGCTTCTAGATCAACTCTAAGCTTCTCGATGATCATCTCTTGTTCTTTGACCTCTGCCTCAAAGCTTCTAGCTTTCTCAAGATCTCTCTTCAAAACCACAATCTCCTCTTCAAGCTTGGCAACCACTTCGCTTCCCGAAAGTGCCTTCTTTTCGCGGGTTGACTCAAGCAGAGCTTTCAACCGAGTCAGCTCCGAAGACAAGATCTCAACTTTCTCCGCATGGATTCCAGCCGTCTTACTAGAATCATCTGCTTGGCTCAAGGCCTTACTCTTGGCGTCATTAGCCGCGGCCAATTCCTCACTGACTCTCTCAAGCTCCTGCTTAACCGAAAGAAGAGCAGCAGAATCCGAAGCATGTTGGTTCTTGACACTCTCGAGCTCTCTCTTCAGCTCTTCTTCTTTCCTCTGAACAGCCTCGATCCCTGCCTCAACAGCCTGGAACTTCTCAATCTCCGAGTTCTCCTCGACGCTTTTCTGAGCTTTTATAGCGTCGCCAAGCTTCCCAGCTGCTTCCTCAGCCTCTTTTTGGGCTTCTTTGAGTTCATCGAGTGCTTTAGCTTTTTCCTTCTCCAATGAAGATATCCGCTCATTAGCCTTCTTCAGATCTTCCTTGATTTGAGTCAACCGGGTCTGAGGCTCTGATGCTTTCGCTACTACCCGCGCTTGTGTTTTCTGCGGAATCGTTAAGAAAACAAATCGACGTTAAAGAACATTTGCTCCAACATAAAGACGATATTCACATTACAGTGACTGTTTGCTTGAATCAATACGCATATAGTAACCACTCATCACATTTTTACCTCTGGTGGAGTAGGAACCTTTGGTGATCGTCTCTCAACAGAAGGCTTTGAGTTTGGGGAAGAACGATCGAGTGAAAGGCGCGAACTTGGAGTCGGTGATGGAGAGTTTGTTTCAGATTTATTCACTGCCCGACTCACTTTTGCTACTCTTGGAGATGCTTTTGCGGGAGTAGTTTCAGATAAACTAGTTCTGTTTCCACAACAAAAAAAAAAGTCGATCTCAGCAAGACAAATTGATCAAAATATTTAAATCGCCGCAAAACGAATTAGATCTAAACAACTCTCTCGATCATTGACAATTTACTCAAAAATAGTAACTTCTACAGGAACCAGATCAGATCTGGTTCTATTAAGAAAAATCCGCACAGAAATAGGAATAAAACTAAAAGAGACTAAAAAGTGAGTAAGTCTCTTACTTAGTCTTCGAAGCCATAGCACACCGACGCCGTCACCGCCGCGCTTGTTTTGAAGAAGATAAAGTTGATGGATTACAGAACAATGTTGAGTTTTGCTGAATTGGGTCTCAGTTTTTTGAACTCAGATCAAGAGAGAGAGACAATGATTCGAATCGGTGGTTTAAGGAAAGAGGGGTCGAACAAACCCAGAAGAATGATAGAAGCAGGTGTGGCTGTCTCCAGAGTGGCCACACTCGAAAGAAAGATTAACAAAATGGTAATTTCGATAATTAATTTAAGAAAAGTAATTCGGATTCTCCTACCGATCCGATGTAATAAAAAAGGGAAAACCAACCACTAATAATTTTATCTCATTATTAATAAAATAGAAAGTAATTAAGAACGTGAAGGTTGGTAAAATGACGAAAGTGACCCCAGCTGTTCTTTAGTCCAATCAAACTGACAGCGAACAACCATCACTGTTGTCATATCATTGCGGCTGCAAAGATCAACGGCTGAGATTGTTCGAATTTTTTTTCAAATTTTGTCAACGTTCGGCAATTTTAATTTAATATTATTTGTTCACAATTCAAATAAATATATTTTTGAGCTTGAAGCATTTGACGGTGGGATGATATACAAAACATAAATATTTGCTAGTAGTAGGATTTCTCAACCGGAATCTTTAGATAACGTATGGCATTCCCAATTAAAAATCGAATAAAAGCTACAAGATTCAATTTAAAAAAACTAACAAAATTGCATACAATTCAATCATTTATGTAGATTTTCTTCCCCAAAAAAGAAAAACAAGACAGATATGTTCATCAATCATCATCACAAAGAAACTATTATTATCATCATCTTCAAGCCAAGTGAAACATTTTTTGGAAGAAATGGAGCTAAAGAAATTCTCAAGTGAGATGCGTTGCACTTCGAGATATAAAATCGCTAACCAAATGTAGAAAAGACAAATAGGTTATGTGTTTAATAACTAATAAAACTTGAATTTTTTTATAAATATTGTACTATTATTGCGCTGATTTCTTTGATTCCTTTATAGAAGCTAGCCTATCGATCTGTTCTAGCCTATAGATGTTGTTTTGCCACACAGATTTTCATTTGAAGTTGAAGGGTTTCTATATTCATTTTTTTGGATATGCAATGTTCAAACCCATTACTATTGAGGTATGTCTTTTCATTCATAAACACTTTGTGTGTATTTGACTTGCAAATGATGTATCAATGCTTAGATTATTGGCATAACAATTATATGATCTGACTATTTAATTTTATTTTATCTTGCAGAAGTTACTAAAGTTCACCCTAAGTTTACCCTTTAATATTGGTATTATTCCTCAGGAACCGGCAATTATAATCTTTATGGTGTGTCGTGAAGCCCAGTATAGTCTCTTCGACTGCCAAAGGCGTTGTCCTCATGTGGAAGACTCCTACTGCGATGGCATGTGCAAGATAACTGCTGAGCAAAACAGCATGTTACCTTCTCCAATTTTCATTGCGAACCTATAAGATTGGACTAGTTGGTTCCTTGGATAACATATGTCTAAAGATTCTTAACTGTTTGAAGGCTAAGAAAAACCCTAAGTCTATTTTTTAGAGAAACTGATAAAATCTACATGTTTCTGTACTTATGAGTTATGAGTTTAAAAGTGCATTTTGGAAAGAAAACATCTGCATAATCATTTCGGATTACCAACGTACTCATTTGCTCTTGATGAAGTTGCTGCTCAATGGAGTCTTGACCGATTTAGTGTTGTCAATAATAATAACGTCGAGAAAGGAAGAAATAGAGTCTTTTCAAGTGATGAAGGTACTGATTGGCAATTAAACTTTAAAAACTATAGAAATTTTAAAAATTATTACAGTATTTAAAGTCATATTTTATTCAATCACATTTCAATGATTTTAAAGTCTTAAAAATGATAAAACTGCTCCTAAATATTCTCACAGTCATTTTATTCCTTTTTTCTTTCATAACCGATAGATTTTTTAAAAGCCAAAAAAAATGTAGCTTTATTTTATTTTTAAAGTCACCCTCATTATTTTAAAATCACAGTTTTTACAATTTATTATTTTAGTATTAACAGTAAAAGTCTATAACCAATTAGAGCAAGAAATTGCAACTCACCAACGACCTTGACACCTTGTTGCTCTTCCTAAACGTTCCTCCAAATGCCAAATCCACTTCTTGTAATCCATAAAATCAACTGTGGGTGTGCCATTGTAACTATTATGAACATTTCATTTGATATTTTGTTTCCAACTGAAACTCTCATAAATTACAAGAAACACAACACAATTTACACAGACAGGTACAAATCCAAAGACTATGTGAAACCTTTTTGGTACTCCAAAAAAAAAAAAGACACAAACAAGAAACATCTAAGAATTTTTATAATGATCTCTAGCTTCTCGCTTTGACGATAAAACCAAGGGAGAAACAAAATTTAGGTTAAGTATCCCTAATTATATTGTGTTAATCATCTGGCCTCTGATCTCGTCTTTGAATCAATCATCTGGCATCTGTCACCCAACCGTCAAAAGAGTCACATATCACCGCTGTGTTACTGCTTCCCCTGACTGGATGATGGTTTTCGCCACACCAAATCTTGTCTACCTCGACTACTCTGACCGTGTTAAGTATTATGAACGTACCGACGCCAATCTCATTGATACGCTTCTAGAAGCCCGCCTTGATATTGTCTTTTCATATCCTCATTTGGAACAGCCTGAAGATATTCTGAAAGTCGTTTCTTGGATATGGCATGTTCAAACACTTTACCTCTCCTCTAGCACTCTTGAGGTATGTCTCTTGCACCATCATGTAGTTATATTGTTTCCACTCATCAAACACTTTTGTGTTGTTTATGTTTTCATGTGTGTGTGTTGCAGCTCATGTGTCCATGCTTAGATTATTGGCATAGCAATGGTGGGTTTCCCCTCGTTAAAAACCTTGTTACTCTATCTTTCGATTGTAAAACCGACAAAGGCTGGGAAGTTATTTGGAGTCTTGTCAAAAACTCTCCAATGCTTGAAAATTTGATCATCAAGGTATGCATCCTATGCATATATGGTCTCTCAATTATGAACCTTTTATCTGAGAATTTCACATACAGTATGCATTATCTATTTCGGTTTAGGACTTTCACTATATAAGAAGAAATCGCGAGGCAAGCATCGATGGAAATGCGCTCAAGGTGCTGGAGATTTATGGGTTTCGAGGAAGTGTTGGAGAATTCAGCCAAATAAAACGTTTCTTGGAAGAAATGGAGTTTCTTCAAGTGATGAAAGTGGAAGTTGATGCTAACATAGATGATAACAAGAAATTGCAACTCACCAATAACCTTGTTGCTCTTCCTAGATCTTCCTCCAAATGCCAAATACACTTCTTGTAATCCATAAATTTAACTGTGGGTGTTCCATTTGTTTTTTTTTCTTAGTTTGAAGCTCTGAACTTTTGTTTTGCACTTCAAGATATTTTGTTTGACGCAAACGTTCTCATTATTTCTACTTTCTGTTTTCTAGCTATTGTTTCCTGCAGTCTCTTACAATTTAATTTTTGTTTTCTAAAGTGTTCAAACTGTATTAGAAAGATTCATTTTTGTTTGCTTTTATGTGCCATTGTAATATGAACATTTTCATCTACTTTTAAACAATAATTATTTTATTTTTTTCCAACTGAAAAACTCTCATAAACTACAAGAAACACAAACAATTTACATGACAGTTACAAATCCAAAGACTCATGTGAAACCTTTTTGGTACTCCAAACAATAACAAAAAAAAAAAGACACAAACAAGAAACATCTAAGAATTTCTATAACTCTCAGATCCTGCACTGTGCAGTGCAGGTTCTTGAAACCTGTCTGAATAATGGCCAGAGACTTCATAATTCTTGTAAATAGACATCACTCGTCATGTGTCGTCTGGTTTCTCGATTGTGTCAGTGAGTTCAATGTTTCTGAGATCGCGGAGATGTTGCAATATATCTTGAAGAAGATCCGTTCCTTTGTCGCCTTTCTTCCCCGAACTCATACAGTTTTTCAGAAACTCTCCATCCGTTTCAAGCACCTGTAGCCTCTCATAGACACTATCTACTTGTTTGATGATCTCTAGCTTCTCGCTTTCCGAACCAAAGTTCTTTTCAACGGATTCTTGCAGATCTTCATACTCGTCTTCTGATTCGTTCTCTGCAGCGTCTAGAAGAGGAAGCAGACTCTTTGCCATTGATGCCATTGTCACTCCTTCATGCTCATAACTCTCTCCTTCGTAACTATTGCTGAATTCTCCTGGAAACTTTGAATCCTCTGCAGATTCGTTGTCCTGCATTGTTAATAGCCTGTCCTCTAACACCTTAAGCTGATCCAAAATCACTAACCTCTCTTCCTCAAACTCTGATAAAGATTCATCAAGCATCCCCATATGTTTTACGCAATCCAATGTCATCTTCTCCAAATCCACATCCGTCTCAGAAGAGCTATCCTCTTCTCCATTCTCCTCCTTTTTATCATCATCATCAGCCTCGCAACCGCTTTTCGTAGCTGTGATCATTTTGTTCTTCTCGTACTCCAAAACCTTTGCTCGGTAAACCTCAAGCTCTCTCTGTATTTCTTCCTTCTCTTTCTCTCGTTTCACCATCAGATGATTCAACAGCTGCAAGGCTTCTTGATCATACTCGGCTTGTTCCTCCATCATTCTCTGATACTGCAACGCCTCCATCTGAACTTTCGCCTTCTCTTCTTGTAGCCTCGTGATCATCGCCATCGTCTGGTTAGCTGCTATCGCAGACGCGCTCCTTTCTTCTTCCAGCTCTGCATATAAACCTCTCAGTGCTTCTTGCTCTGCTTTCACAGTCTCTCTCAGCCGTTCGATAGTCCTTGAAGGATCATCGCCGTCCATCTCACTCGCTACTACGCTCCCATCTCTTGCATCTTCAGCAGCTGCGTACTCAGTTTTGGAAAGAAAAATAAGTTTATTGTGCAATAAAGTATTGCCTGAAGTTGGAGTGTCCGGAAACTCCTTATTGTTTTCTTCTTGATCTTCTTCTTCTTCTTCATTTTGACTACCTATGAAAGAAAAGAAAAGAAAAAAAAACTCTAATTAGGCTTAGCACAGATGTAAAAACCAAACCAGAGATGCATACATATTTGCACAAGACCTGTTAAAAGAGGATCAAATCCAACAGAGAGATTTTCGATGACAAAAGCTTCATTCTTGCTCCCAAATTGATCATCCAACAAAACTACTCTTTCTGTTTGTTCTATTTCTTCTTCTTCATCATCCACACGCCCTGAGTTTAATCACAACTGAGGAATCTTCAAAACCAATTAAACAAACAGAAATAAAATTTCAGACTTTGGGTTTGTGTTGTCACTCTACCTGAGATGTTGTCTTCCCCATCTGTCGCAACATTGCCTGTGTCATCATCCCTTTGTTCATCCTCTGAAACTCTTGACTTAGGTTCGGTGACTTCGTCTTCGTTGCCGAGAAAATTATTGCTGATGACAGATCTTAACCCATCCTCCTCAGACACTTCTCTTAGGCTTAAACCATAGCTCTCGACATCTGAAATCACTTCACCATTTTGCTGCTGCTCTTGTGTCTTTCCTTCTTCTTCTGGTTTCTCTTTGAAGAACCCTAAGGGGTAAGTTTCTCTCTCTATCTCGAATCCATCTCCAATTTTATCATCGTCGATCATCTCTAAGATCAATCCTCCGTTTTCTCTGTCACCGAGAGTTTTCCCCCAAATTGATGACTTGATAACCAAGTAACTAGGATAGGGCTTTTCTGCCAAGCTCTTTTGGCAACATGTGCAAAACCCTAAACCAATGTTGCTCCGTTCTTTGCGATCTGAGCAGTCTGAGCACAAGTTCACCGATTCGGATAACTTCCCGTGAGTTTTGCAAAAATTCAGACTTGCTAGCTCCGCGATGTGATTTTGGCATAAAAGCTCTCTGAAAGTAATTCTATTTTCCGGTTTTCCCTCGAAGATTCGATCTAACTTTGGGCAGAGAAGGCAGACTTGCTTGAGGCCGAAGAAAGAGGCGAATTTTACGATGAAGTAAGTGAAAAGGGAATTGAGGAAGATGAAGAACATGAGAAGCCATTCAAGGAAAGCGTAGACCAAGACTACTGTAACTCTGTTTGTGTTTCTGCTTAGCTTTGTCGCGAAAGTGTTGGCCGCCATTGATCGTTGCTCCTCTGCTTCCTTCGTTTTGAGACTGAGAGAAGAGGAGAGAAGAGAGAGAAAGAAAGAGAGGATGAGAGAGAAGAAAATGATGTTGTCGGGTAACATGCGCAAACCACGCTGTATTTGTCTAGTTTAAATGGGTTTTCACCTGAACCGGAACCGGAATAAGTTTTTGAACCTATAAATTTCGGTTTAATATGGGCTACCTTAAAATAGTAATAACCCTTTCAGATGTTAATGAGAACAGTGGAGTAGTTCTCGGAACAATAAATATTAAAACGTTTTTCGTTAATCATTGTTTAGACTTTAAGTGATTTTCTTTGCGTATATGTTTAGAGATTTGGTTCATAGTATTTGTTATCAGATTATGTGAATACCCATTTTTTAATTTCAGAAAACTGGAGAGAGAAACCGTGGAAAAGCAAAAGGAGAGCGAGCGTGATGATGAAGATTTGGCTGTCAAAAGGAAACATAAGAAAGGAAAAGGGAAAAAGATGGATAAAGTGAGGGAATTTTCAATTGCTTCTTTTGCTTTTAGGTGTGTGGGGTTATTACTATTTTTCTCATCCTTTAGCCTTTTAATACTCTTTTCTCCAAATGAGACTGCATGGCACTAAACCAAATTCTCATCCAAAACCATAAACCGAACAACCCTCGCAAAATTGAATAACATAAAGAAAAACCAAAGTTTTTGAGCCAAACCAGACCGAATATCCACCCCGGACCACCCCTACTACATTGTTGATGGTTCACATGAATTTATTTATTGAATTTGGAAAAATTCCTTCTTTTTCCAAAATCAAGCAATGAATATAGTCATATACTGATTAATACACATATTTTGCCTAGTTGGTGAGGATATAAAATAGTACTAATAAATACAATTGTGGCAAAACCTACAAAAAATTTAAAAATATATCCACTTTTTTGCTTAAAAACTGTTAACGCTTAAAAAGGCATTATAATGGACCCGACTGTGACACTGACAAAAAAAAAACTGATAATGGATTCTCTCTAATATCATTTTAGGGATTTTCAGACTAAAAATTATGGGGTCCCAAAAAAAAGAGAGTAATTGTAACCGGTGTCATATAGAATTAAATCGATACCTGGTGGTCCATGGGCCGATATGGGCCTGGCCAGACGGTGAGAACATAATAATTTACCTGGAGGCTGTGAATTTACTGAGACACTAAAGAAGTGGACTTGAGAAAATCAAGCCTAGCTTTGGTCAGCTTTATCTTTTCTTCCGCTTCTTCTGCTTTCTCCTTTACCCCTCTCACCACTTCTTCTGGAGCTTTCTCCACAAACTACACATTTTCGCGTTTCATAAACAGACGCACAAGCGATTACATAAGCTTATCAAAAACAAAATCTAGGAGATTCCTTTGATGGTAATGGTGTATACCTTTGGTGACTTAAGGCGAGCTACGAGGGCGTCATATTCAGTTTGCATCTTGGAGAGACGTTTGGAAATGCGTTCGACTTCAGAGGATATATCAACCATGGCGGCAAGAGGTAGATATGCCTCTAGTCCTTCACTGGCTACTACGTGGACTGAGAGGTTTGCGTCACCTTAAAAGGACCAACCATGAAGAGTCTCATTGTTGTGAACACGAGTTGAAAATAGAGAAATTAAGAGAGCTTAAAAGATTATCATACCAGGAGGGGTGTTAGTAAAATGGACGTTGTCTAAGTCGAGCCTTGATAGAAGAGCTAACACCTTCTTCTCTTTCTGCACAGAGACAAGGACACAGCTTTCGTTTTCATAAGGAAAAACAAGGCAAATCGATACAACCTTGTTCATAAGAATGTTATGCTACCGAAGGCAAAAGTTACTGACCGAAATATATTCAACAACCTCTGCACTTCCAACAACTGAGGCAGATATACGTTTTACCGGTTCCACTGAATACTCTGCTCGTACATTTCGAATTGCTCTAGTCTGTGATTTAGCAGGTAAGGTGTCAACAATTTCTGAACTTCTGATATTATAAATTTGAAACACTTAACGTATAGTTCTGTTGGGGGTTTGCAGAATATATAAAGGCAGAAATTCATACTGACCAGAGCTTGTAAATTCTCAAATCTTTTTATTGATTCAACAGTCCTAGGAAGTGAATTTTGTGGCCATGGAGACACAATCAGCGCTTCTTTCCTGTAGGGAAGTGCCTGCAAATACAAATGCAATCAGAATACTTTTTTTGTGAAGCTGTAATCATTTTTTTGGTTGCAGTGCCAATGTAAATATCCATATATGAGTAAGTTTTAGGTACATCATGCTCAAAACAGAGCTACACTACAAAAAATACTCAGAGATAACAGCTTAAGCATGCATTGGTAAAAAACGTCCAATGAGCATACTAAGATTCTAAGGCATGAGGAATATTATGCAGTTGCAGTTGGCCTAGTATATGGTGAAGGGCCATTAAATGTAGAAATGAAAAACCCAGATAGCAAAACTGAGAGCATGTTACCTGCCATAGATCCTCGGTTACAAACGGCATAAATGGATGCAGCAGCTTAAGTATATTCTCAAAGACATATAACAGAACTGCCTGAGAAACTAGAGAATCTGAATTGCCTCCAGATCCATACAGTCGAGATTTGCTGGCTTCAATATACCTTAAGAGTAGAGAGTAAGACTAGTCAGTCAGTTGAGTCAAGAAACATGTATTGGTTGCTAAGGATTTCAGGTGGAGATACCAATCAGCAAAGTCACTCCAAAAGAAATCATATGTTTCTCTTCCTACATCCCCAAAGAACAACTTCTCATAGCTTGCTGTGACGGAATCAATGAGAATATGAAGTTTTGACACCTGAAAACAACACAAAGGTAATATAAGGTGGTAGGCAGATTAATACTATTTGATAACTCTAGGGTTAAAATATTATACCGCCCAACATTCAGGTAAGGGTAAACTGAGCAGGGTTTCCTCTTTGTCAAACTGAAAAAAAAAAAGCAAAATGTTCGAAAACAAATTATTACAAAACATTGCGAAATTTCACAACAGATCGATACAAAGAGAGCAGCGTTGATTTATGTTAATCAGCCAAACGTAGCTTATCACTTCTGATGCGATTCCGCAACTGTTTTAAGTTATGGAAAAAGGTAAGCAGAAGGAGTTACTCTGTGAAAGAGGTCTGACCAATCTCATATATTTAATGCTACCTCGTTTTTTCTGGACTTTTACGGTCCATGGACCCATCTTGTCACAAAGATCGTCTTAGTAAATTTTGTTAATGAGTTTAGCCTTAGTCTGTCACTAAAAGGACAACGGGATACCACAGTTCTTTTATACTTTCTAGTGGAGATGGAAAAGCAAGCAAACCTTGAGGGCCAGCAAATTCTCCCAAGCAGATGTATCGCTTAGACTAGGCAGACTCTGCAGCACAAACTTTCCAGCATTCCATAGTTTGTTGGTGAATGCTTTATTTGCAGTTAACCTCTCAGTAGATAGGTTCAGATCCTAACAAAAAGGTATTGGGGAAAAGAAGAAAGGAAAATAGACATAAATACAGCATCAAAATGTAAGCCTTACACACAACACAACAACAAAAAAGGTTCAGCTGCCTAAGCATGCTAGAGATCAAACCTGACCAGCAGTTCCTAGTGCAATCGTAAATCTCAGAGCATCAGTGCCAAAGTCTTTGATTGTGTCAAGCGGATCAATCACATTCCCAAGAGACTTTGACATTTTTCTCCCCTGAAAATTTCAAATATTCTGGTTAACTACAGAGAGATATACCGGACGGGAATGTTTCCCCTTGAACAGAATCCTAGAGGTAACTTAACATTTAATAGCATAAAGGAAGAAGTAAGAGATAATGATATGGAAAACCTCAACGATCAAAGCTTTTATCTCGTCACGAGAAAAAAACACATTGACCAGAACAGGCAAAGAGCCTAAACTTACTTGAGAGTCCCGTATAAGTCCGTGAAGGTAGACATGAGAAAACGGAACGGCCCCTGTAAATTCTATTCCCATCATAACCATTCTTGCTACCCAGAAAAATAGTATGTCATGCCTGTCCAAACAAAAGGATTATAGTTATTTGAAGGAAGTAATGTGAATTTCAAAGTAGCGAACTGCAACAAAGGCGCATTTTCTTTTTCAAATTTTACTTTTAAAGGACACCAGTTCTTGCTAACAGAAAAAAGTTGTTGTTCCTAGAAATTTGTTCACTAGTGAAAGGTCGAGCATTAACATTAGTCTGTGTTTTTTTATGATCGTCAAGGAAGAAAGGAATATACCCTGTTTCTAACATATTTGTAGGGTAGAAGTTTTTGAAATCCTCTGCTGATACATCAGGCCAGCCAAGAGTGCTGAATGGCCACAATGAGCTGCAGAAGAAAAAAAAAAATCTTGGGTAAATTATACAGGAAGTTCTTGCAAAAGCAGAAAGATATATGTTCAGTAAAGAAAATCACTGATTCATCGTGTCTATTCCGGAGAAACTGAAAACTTTACATGATTACACTAGAGACTATTTCTATAAGAATGAAGCACAGGAGAGAAATCATCTCCAAATAAATCCAACTAAACAACTAACCTGGAAAACCAGGTGTCAAGAACATCTGGATCCTGATATATTTCAACATCTTTTCCATACTTCTCATGAGCTTTCTCAAGGGCTTCTTCAGCATTTTTGGCAACTATGTAGTCCTCCTCACAATCCTTTCCAACTACATACCAAACTGGTATGCGATGCCCCCACCACAACTGCCGGCTTATGCACCAATCCTTAATATTTGTCAGCCAATGATTGTATATCTGCAAGTGGCGACATGATATAAGTTGTATGCAGTGTAAACAATCAAAAACCTCGCAATGAATTTGCGAAACTGACAAGAGAAATAAAACAGAGACCAGCTCAGCAAATAATAACACACAACCAGTTGTCTGCATACCTTCTCAAATCTCTCAGGTATGATGGTAAGTTCTTTTTTTTCAACAGCAAGAAGAGCCTTCTCAGCTAAGGGTTCCATATGGACAAACCATTGTTTGCTTACAAGTGGCTCAATAACCTAATACCAGTTAAACCATCCATGAGAAATATGAACTTCTAAAGAACTGGAAAATTTATACTGGGTCGGCAGAAAAATACTTCTCCACCACGCTGAGATCTTGGAACTCGTGAAGTATGAGGTTCCTTCTTAACAGCTAAACCTGCCTCCTCAAGATCTGCCCATAGTTTCTCCCTCACCTCAAACCGGTCAAGGCCACTGAAAATACAATGTATGTTAAGGCTCCATGGACGTTAAGAAGTAACCTCAGGGTCTTGCATTTTATGATGTTGAAACTAATGCGGCTAACATATAAGTTTAAAACCAAAATGTTACCAAAACAAGCCAGCAACGTCATTTAGTGTTCCATCCTTGTTCATTACATTCAGAATGGGGAGACCTAGCTTCCTTGCAAGAAGATAATCGTTGTGATCATGCCCAGGACTTATCTTCAGAACACCAGTCCCAAAATCCTTATCAACATACTGCCACGGTACACAGAAAATACTGATGAGAAATACATAATGAATAGCAAAGGAAAAAAGTATGAGGTAACTGGATATCGAAAAGAGTGCATAGGCAGTAGATCAGAGATCACCTTATCAGAAATAATTGGGACATGACGACCATATGTCATAGGTACAATTGCTGTCTGACCAACATACTTAGAATAACGATCATCCTGCCAGATGCCAAATACATTTCACAACATTAATCCTCAAACGATGCCCAGGGAAGAGCACCTATTATTTGAAACGATTGAAAAAGATCTACATTCACATGAGATCCAATAAGAATTATCATCTACTTTGTAGTTTACATCTGTACATCAAATTAGACCTGTAACGCGACAAACTACCCAGACCAGATATTCAAGTTCAAATTATATTTGAGTAGAACAAGCATACATGGAAACCCTCAAAAGGAAGAAAAAAACAAAAAAAATTGTTATAAATTGTTACTTTTCCTCCCTAATATAAAACTTGCCACTAACTTATGCATTCAAAAAGAAACCAAAACTTGAAACACAAGCGAAACAGAGTTTAATAGTGCCATCTGCCATTCCCAATATCATATTATCAGAGGAAAAAGAAAGAGAAACATCACCACCTACCTCAGGATGGACGGCAATGGCCACATCACCAAACAATGTCTCTGGACGAGTCGTTGCTATAGTAAGAAAATCAGGACTATACAAGAAAAGATCAAATTAGCCACTATCACAAGCACTGAAGTAACCCTTACGGGCCCAAAGTTGCGTTCCACAAATCTTAATGATCATAGCACATAATCTAAAGCCTCAGCAGATACACTATACAAACCCTATCATGCTTCTGTGAACTCCATCCAGAGCGGAAAACAATCAAATTGAAGTAAGAACAAGTCTTCTTTTCACATCATTTTCCATAAAAGACAGTAGAAAAGAAAAGGTAAAGGTGGTTGGACAGTACCTTCCAGCTACACGGTACTTAATATGGTATAGAAATCCAGGTTCCTCCGAGTATTCTACTTCCTGATAAGAACAAGACACAGTCACTTCTAGAAAGAAAGAAAAAAGGTAGTCAAACAACAGAGCGTAAGATAAAGTACATCACACACCAAGTCTGAAACAGCAGTCTGTAAATTAGGGGACCAGTTGACCATGTAAGATCCTGGAAAAACATTATGCCAAAATCACGAAAATTCATATGAGTACAGCACATCACTAATTACAACTACTACAACAGGAACCAAAATATCTAATAGCTAATAGTGTACCTTGATATATCAACCCCTTGTCATGAAGCTTCACAAAAGCCTCGATCACAGCTCCTACAAATTCGAGGTAAACGAGAATCAAGGAATATACAAAATGCATTCAAAATGCAAGTACATATGATTTGAAAATAAGAAAATTTTAGAGCCACCTAGAAACTTCATAATATTTCACTTGCAGAAGTTTTGGGTTCTAAAATACCACTTTAAGATCATCTAGAGTCAACTTGGAGCACCAGTTAAAGTTTGCTTTAAGAACCATCATCTAATATATATGGAAACTATAGAAAGACGGCTTACGACTCAATTGCTCATCAAGAGTGAAGCGCTCTCTACTCCAATCACAAGAAGCACCCAGTCTCTTAATCTGATTTGTGATGGTTCCGCCATACCTGAGAAAAACCACACAAATTATAATTTCTGACTTATCCGTAAAATACATATACAAATACAGTGGATCTTATCTTTTAATGAAAGCATTTGCCTTTGAAATGGTACAGAAAGATCAAATTACTCAATCAATAGAAAGGTACAGGAATCTTCTCCTACTTAAAATATTTTTGAGACACCACCAGAGTATACTACAAATATTTTTGAAAAAGATTAGGTAACATACTTCTCCTTCCATTCCCAGACTCTTTTGGTAAACTCATCTCTACCCAGCTCCACTCTCTTAATGCCTTCTGATGCTAGCATCTTTTCCACGACCAACTGTAAGGAAATGTAGTGGTTTCAGCAATATATTGCACAGACATTATCCAAAATATATTCTACAAGAAAAGGACTTCTTAAACAAAAAAATTTGGGAGATTGGTATATGAAACGAGAGCAATGGAGTGGGAACAAGCAAGATATATAAATCAAAATGAGCACGAAACAACACGCAAACACTAACAGAAATACCATGAAAAACTTGAACTTTGAACGAGGAAAAGAACCTGAGTGGCAATACCAGCATGATCAGTCCCGGGAAGCCAAAGTGTTGGCCTCCCTTTCATCCTATTGAATCGAACCATAATATCCTGGAAATTTTTCAAAAGGTGATGAGAGGTAGCAGAACCATAACGTAACACAGCTAAAGCACAAAAACAAGCATGGCATTACTAAAGAATCTACCATACAAATCAACTGAAAGTGGCTAACACACTGAAAATATATTACGTACATATATCTACAAAAAAATAAGAAACATGCGAGCTAAAGCTACACGAACAAACTAAAAAGCTTAAATGAGAAACAGGAACATAAACTGAATACCCAAATGACTGTCAATTATCTCAAAATCGATTCCACAACCTCAAGAGTCACAAACATTGCATGGCCCATGTGCAGAGAACCAGTAACATTAGGAGGTGGCATTGGTATCACAAAAGGGCTGCCTCCTTGGTCGAAACTTGGTTTGAAGTACCCTTGCGACTCCCACCTAAAATGCCCAAAACCCATGTTTCATCGGGATTATTAACCTTGTGAAGAATGAGACCCTTTTTATTTTACATTTTCGATATCCAAATAAATCAGCAGAAAGTTTACCATTTGTATATTTTCTCCTCCGAGGCAAAATCAAAAGTCTTGGATGTCTCAGGAGAACTAAATACACTATTTCCAGACGCAGCAACTGAAGAGAGAGAGAGAGAAATTCCAATAATTTTTTACTGAAATAGAAGGGAAGTTCATGTAGAGGACATACGAATAATACAATGCTTATCATCATAATCATTTTTCACATCAATGCATAAGAATCTCAATAATCTCCTAGTTAATTATCAAGTAGCGGGAAAATTCTAATTGAAGAACAAATTGAAGACAGCCTAGTTCTAGAAACAAACATGAGCAATAATTCAAAAAACGCCATAGGAAAACAGATTTCGACTTTCGAGGCAGAGACAACGTAGCGAAGAACGCACCAGAAAGAGACAATCGACGTTGCGAAAAACATGAACTCAAGCGAGCTGGAGAGATTAATCGACGGCGTCGGTGAGTGAAGAACAGAGAGTTGAGCCGGTGAGGACAGCAGGGAGACAAAAGCGTTGTAGTAGTAGTAGTTGTGGGTAGAGAGAAAGCCGTTTGGCGAATCATGGCGGGTTTTGAAGAATTGCCCACAGATTCCCGAGAAAATCAGGGGCGAGAAAATTTTGAAATTCGCAGGAAAAAGATAAGCTGCCGAGGAAAATGGGGGTTTAAAGGGTCCCCTGAAGCAGGAGTGGAAACAGTGAAGGATTAGATGACGGAAGGGCATTTTTGTAATTATTGCTGTTCTTCTTATGGTGTGTAATTGCCTTGTTGCGGTAATAATCTGCAGATTGTGGCGCTAATCTCCCACTGATATGTTTTTTTATGACATTGGAGATGGAAAATTTGATTATTACTGTATGTTATAGTTTGCTTATGGTCTAATTGCTAGTGCCTGGCGGTGAATATTTTTCTCGCGGTAATAATATAGCACATGTGATTATTTGATTACTGTATTATGTTTTTACATTTAGTAGAAGGCAACGAAGGTGATCAAACATATATATCTCTTTACTCCTAACCCATCACCTTTGGTCTCCACCCAGCAATTACATCCTCTGTTTGCGCCCGTGTATTCACGAATGACTCTCTCGAGAATACGTTCTGTAAAATCATCATAGTGTGGTTTGGTTAAACCGAATGAATAAGAAAAGATCGAAAGAGAATGCGATTGGTTGCGGAGAACAACATCTAAGGACTACACTCGGTTTTTTCAGACATTTTTACCTCCATGTAGGATTTGAGGAAAGAAAGTGAATCTGGAACAGACCAGTTCTTGTAATGGCCCAATGCAATCTCCATGTGGTATAGCTTTGGTCCCAAGGACAAATCAGCTGCCGAAATCTTCTCTCCGTTTATGAAAGGGCCCTTCACAATAAGGAAGAAAAAAACAGTCAATGTTTCGCTCAACAGTCGGAATAATCCATCTACTATAACTGAAGACTAGTTATGGAAGAGATCACAACCAAAAAGAGCTTACATTTTCCTTGAGGTAATCGTTGAATGCACTGAGCTCATCCAACAAAACTTGCTCAGTTCCATCTTCTGGATCTTTGCTCTTAAGAAAACCGATAAATGTGGAGAAGATCTTCGATCCACTGCAAAGATAAATTAAACATCCACACGCAAATTCATAACTACAAGTATGCAAATTGCCAAGTTTGAAATCTTTTTCAGCAAAGAAACGCATCAGGTCAAAAAGGGGAATGCTTACACGGAAGCCTTTTCGGGTGGGGTTGCAAGAGGAGGCTCAGGATACTTCTCTTCCAAAGACTGTGTTATAACATCCGAATCCGGAACCCATTTCTCATCAAACTTCACCACCGGGACTTTACCTTCTGGGTTAATTTTCAAGAACCTAGAAACATCAACCAAGAAGTCAGGAACACAACATAGTGAAAAAAACTAAAAGATAACCACTGCCATTAATTAAGAATCATGTCAACTTCCAAAAACACATAAAGGAAGCTAAAGATTCACCATTCTGGTTTGTTACTCAAATCCACCATTTTCATGTCATAAGGTACATGCTTCTCCTCCATAGTCAGTAACACCCTTTGGCAAAAAGGGCCTATCAACAAAATTATGCATTATAGTTAACTCATGAAGAAGAAAAATAACCCTCAAGCATAGACATAGAAGCAATAGCAATCGAGTTTGCATAACTTTCCCTAAAAAATGTTTTGAGCAGTTTCTGATTTCTAAACCAAAAAACAAGCTATGCACCAGTTAAGTTTAACACGAAATTCTAGAAATCTAAAGTTCAAGTATCTATCTGCAAGATGAAACTGAGCGAAAAAAGGAATCGAATTGCAGCTTTAGCAATCCACATTTCGAAATTGTTTGGAAAGAATTCAGATTTCTGACCAGAGAAACAATCTAAGCACCAAATATTGAGCTAAAACAAAATATCTATCTGCAAGTCGAAATTAAGTGAAAGAGGTATCAAAGTTCAGCTTTATCATCCATATTTCAAAGTTTCCGTCAAGAGAGAGAGAAAGAGAGCTAACAGTCTCCGAGCTTGTTGGGTGTAGTGATGGAAGCTTTGACGCAAATTTCGAGAGGAGTAGCAGCCATAGCCATCGTTCCGAACCGGCCAGTTCTTCCCGGTTTAGTAGACCCGCACCGCTTGATAAAACCGGCGCGGCTGACCGACGTCGATAGAACACCGGCGGTGCTTGGTTGAAACCTAAGGCTTATCATATTTTTTTTGTCCGTCGTTTACTTTCATCCAGTTTTTCCATTTTCTTTATTCAGATGAGTGACTCATGGATACGTTTCCCTGTGGTCTCGTCCACCCTAACGCGCCCTTATGCGCCTTTGATTGTTGATTTTAAATTCTACTCTCAATAAAAAAAAAATTGAATAAATAGTTAAAAAGAATAGCCTCTCCCAATTGTAGTTGTTAAATTTGTCAACTCATACGAAATAAACGACGATATTAAATAATTTTTTAATTCATTGTATTGCTGTTTTTAAAAAAAAAACAACCCAAAATCAAATAGGAAAATCTTATTTTCATAGTAAAAAGCTTTAAATAACTTTGCAACAAAACCTAAAGTGTACGCTAAATATTGTCAAAGAGAAAAATTACAATTATTAGCAAATCAGCATGTATTGAGTGCAGTGGTGGATCTAGACTGTCATTTTGTATATGGCACAACTCAATTAAATAAGAGAATCAAATATATGAACCACAATGTTTTTTAATAACTGGTTATATATAAAAAAAATCTGAAAATCTGTATGGGTACATACCCCATACTCTTTCAAACTGCGTCCGCCACTGATTGAGTGACGAGGTTGATTCATGCATTTTTTTCAGGAAATTTAAAGATTGAAATGCCGTTGATCCATTATCCGTCCAACAGTGAGGGCACATTGACAATGTGGATTACCGCTTCAAATGATCAAATATCTCAACATTTTGTTGGCAAAATTCTAGTTATCCGGAGATCAGTTATATAGTATAACAATTGAAATTTAAAACTCACTAATTTCTTATAATTAACTAATTAATTTTTTTATCCTTCTCAATCTTGCATCAAAATACTTAGAATAAATCAAAAATGGTTACAAATTTTCTAACCAAATCTGCTTCAAAAAATCTCAGAAATTAAGGTTTAATAAGTTCTTAATACAGATCACCTCACAGATATTGAGAATAAATCTTGTCACACCCTTAAACAAAAAATAACAATAACAATACTCAGTTGCATGACAAATCATTCTTAGACCAAATGTAATTTATGAATCCAAAGATTTAGGGTGTGAAAAATATATACCTGAAACTGAATACATGGATATACCATCTTCGGTGAGAACGTCCCTAGGAACTAAGTTTGTAAGCTCCTAAATAAACAACTTGAGAAAACTAAGTTTGTGAGTTCTTGAATCGACAATTTGAGGAAATGAGCAGAGTCGGCTCTGAAATAAATTAAAATAAGTAAATTATCAGCCATATTTTAACAAACTATTCTCTAATTAAAATAGTTGTGTGCATCTTTATGCAAAGTAAATGTGAAGAGTTCAAATCTTCTTCACCTTATTAATAACTATTTAATTAAAAAAATTATATCTCAAACTTATTTTTTACTTGCAGCTCATATATTTTTAAGACCGGTTCTGGAAATGAGGCATCAAATCATTTATCTTCCAATTCAACTCGAATTGCCTTACTAAATAACTGCACAGCAAATGTACATTTACTAACTTCAAATGAATTTGCATGAAAAACGTGGTCTCTGCCTGATACGTTTATTTTATGAGAAACTGTGCGGTTTTGAAGAAGCTGGTGGTGAATAAGAGTTTCATCAACATTATCAGCAAAATCAGAAATATTTCAAAACGGTCTAGAGGGTGTGAAGTTGTTATGCTAGAGCCAACATACGAGGTTGTCTCTCAAAAGTCCAGTTTAGTATGAGGTTATGTAGCAAAAATTGATTATAGTGTACTTTGAAGCTGTTATCTTCCTCGGATCACAGTTAAGCCTCATATTAATTAAAGGTTTTCCCAACTTGTTATCTTGCTTTTATTTATTTCAAATGCATGTACATTTATTTGTTTGCATGTGAACAACCAAATTCTTTCATTTTTTTCTTACCAAATATTTGAATGTTTCTTTTGTTAAAAGATATTTTAAATTTTTTAAGAAGACATCTTTTTTCTTGCTTAGTTTCCATTCTATTATAATAGTATGTGGCTTATTATCAGAAATTATACTTGGATATGCATTTACCTGTTTTTAGTACGATCACATCGATCTTTTTATAAATACCTTTATACTATAAGTGAACAATAAGTTCAAAACTGTATTTAAATGAGAAGTGGAGTGGAATACACGAAATTACGAATGATGATGTTCACGAAAACTGTATTTTGGGTTCCCTTAATCTACAACGAGAAGTGATGTTTGCAAACATCATCATTCGTAATTTAAACCAGGTAGTGAAGCGACTGATTTTCTGAAGAACAAAAATTTAGGTTATAGTTCAGCCTATGGCACAATTTTAATTTGTTGTTTTAGTGTTCCATTCCTACGATATTTTTTTATGGTGAGTCTGATCTTCTCTTTTCATGTTTTCTAAGTACTTGGGTGGATTAAAAATAGGAAAAAGGGTTTTCAAAATTTAAGGAGACGCCATCGAAATAAGAGAAGAAGAACATGTAAGAGGCAAAACCTGGAAATAGTTTTCTTTCTCAAATATCTTAAGGCGTAGATCTAATCATTTTATTTTTACTGCTGCAGATATTCTTTTCAATTATTCGTTGTATTAAGGTGCAGAAATTTAACTGATTGATAGAGATTGATGAAAACATGTGTTTCAATTCCCAATGTGGTACGCCCAGCCCCGGTGTCTAATATCTCTCTGTTTCTTCTTCTTACCGTTGAAGAGGAACCAGCCTAAGCCAGCACCTACTGGTGCAAAAAACGCCGCACCAGCTGCTGCACCGACCTTCCCTGACCAGATCATATCTTCCTCCTGGTCAACGCAAGCATCCAGAGGCGGTCCACACAAACCCGAATTATTAGCAAAGCTCTCCATTCCAATGTTCAAGGAGGGGTTGTACTTTGGGACAGGACCCGTCAGAAGATTGTCTGCCACTGAGAACTTGGTGAGCCGTTCAAGTTGAAGTAGCTCGGGAGGAAGCTGACCCGTGAACTGGTTACGCTGAAGCAAAAGAGTGTTAAGAAAGGTAATGTTTGAGATACTGACAGGGATCTCACCGGAGAATTGATTGTCAGAGAGGTCCAGAACTGTAACAGATGGAAGTATGTCGGAAATGTTGGATGGTAAAGGTCCAGAGAAGTTGTTGCCATAGAGTTCTAGACCTGTCATGTCAGAACATCCCTGAATCCCATGAGGAAATTCTCCACTGAGACCATAACCGTTAAGCTTAATGCTCAAAACCCTATTCTCGTCATCATGCCAGCAAGTCACACCACTGAACCTGCAGATAAAACCTGGAGTATAGTTGCCAAATACCCAACTCGATAAATAACCATTTGGATCCTCAACGTGGGACTTTATGGTCTTCAGGCAATTTACGTTGGCCTCGTTTGCGCCTGTGAAGCTAGACACCAGAAAGAACCAGAGACAAGTTGCGACTAGGGTTATGGTGGACATTTTTGTGTGTGTGATTATAAGGTTTTCAATAGAAAAAAATTAACAAGAGAGAGGTATTAGCAGCAATGACAAGTGGAAATTGTACAGAGTAGGCAAGACTTAAGACTTGAACTTGGGGAATTATAAAAACTTCGTCTCTTGCCCCGTAAAAGGAGTTGGGAGAGGAGACTTGAGAATATTCACAAACAAATATTTCCCCTTATGTCATAGGCCATAGTCATGATTTTTGAATATTCAACTATGGAAAAAGAAAAGAGAGTTTATCATAGTGTCCATTTGCATGGGGGACTTATAAAGACTTACTGAGTTTTACAGGTCGTCTCTTGTCCCGTAAAAGAAGCTGAGGAGGAAACTTGAGAATATTCACAAACACAAGTTTTGGTTTATCCCATAGTCTTAGATTTTTGAATATTCAACTATGGAAAAAAATTCAGAAAAAAAAAAAACTATGGAAAAAGAAAGGAGAGTTAATCATAATGACCATTTCATGGTGACCACTGACAAGAGTTGATTGAATAATTCAAATATTGAAAAATATTATCATCCGAAATTATATGTAATGAAATATGGTTAGATTAGTGCCTTGACATCCAGACAACAACAAAAAAAAAACAAAACAAAAAACACAATTTAAGTAATAATAACACCCAAAGGGCTTCGCCTTCTACTAAGAGATGGCTTTCACTCCGTAGTATTATCAACTCTTTCGAAAAACCATTTTCGCAGACTGCGGGCGGCCGATTCTATCTCCGAGCATGGCCCCATGTAGTCATCTTCTTTCTCATCATCTCCACTAAAACAAACCACACAGAAACAATGACATGATGATTTCCTTCTGTTAAAAGAATCAAGAATCAAAATTCATCTAATTAGATGTGATTATAGAGCCTACCGTTCGACCAACCAGGCTGGCAACAAGATGGGGGTCGAACCTTTCACTGGCACCGAAACCACATTAGATCCAACCCTCTTCATCCCTTTCAAATCAAGATTCTTCAGATCAAATCCAATTTCCTCCAAAGCCTTATCTACTGAGTACTCTTTTTTTTTTTTTCCCTTTCCCCTAAAAGGAAACCACAAAAATAATGACATGTTTCACTTTGTTAAGAGAATCAAGAATCAACATTCATCTACTTAGATGGGATTATATAGCCTACAGTTCGTTAAACCAGAATGGCATGCCGCAAATGAACGAGTCTGGCTCCGAGGATTGCCACGTGTCCGCATCCCCAAAAACTACACTCTTCGATCCTTCCACATCAGATTCAATCTTCTTATTCTTCTCTGGCGCAGCAACCCCAGAAACTTCAACATTCTTCAATCCTTCCTCATCACATCCACCAAGTTGCAGCGCCTTCTCTACTGCGTCTTCTCCCCGAAGAGTAACGAAAGCCGTGCTATAAAAACCAGCAAACAAAAACAAAATCTTTGGTTAGCATTTGATAACATGAGACTTGGGAAAGAAAAATAAAAAAATTCACGAGCAAATTGGGAGGAAGAAGCCACAAACCTGCAGAGAACGTCTTTGCTTTCTTCGAAAAGCATAACTTTCAGGACATGTCCACATATACAGAAATGTTGAATCAGCTCGGTCTTGACATAATCCAAAGGAAGAGAAGTGTCATATCCCGTAACACTCATCCTAATATATGATTGCATGAGATACTTATCATCAACATGACAAAGAACATATCTTACAGACAAATATCTCCAAGAAAAAAAAGACAAAACAAAACAACTTACTTGTGCTGTCTCCTATTGTCAGCCTCTCTCATATGAGCCAACTCAGGGTCAAGGTGTTTGGCATGAAACGGATAAGACTCAACGACTATCTTGTGTTCTCCCATGTGACTTCCACTAAGTTTCAACGCCTTCTCTTCTGCACCTTCTCCCCGAAGAAAAATAAAGGCAAATCTGTAAAACAAAATCAAGAGTTTAATTATCGCAAGCATTTAACTTTGAAAAGCTGACAAAACTGGAGGAAAGACGCCACAAACCTGTTGAGGTTACGGGTGCTGCCTTCAAAGTATCCGGGAATATAAACATGTATCACCTCTCCACATGAAGCGAAGTGTTCTCTCATGGAGATAACCAAATCATAGCCAGTAAGCGTTCTGTCGTATCCCTTAACGTAAATCCTGCTCAACATCCTACTGCAATAGAGATTTGATTGCAACAGGACAGCAACACATCTTACAGATACACATCTCAAAAATCAATTTTTTACCTGCTTTTTCGAATGTCTGCAAAAGCTATTTCGAATGTCTGCAAAGCTATCGTTCGATATCAGAAAATTCTAATTGAGAAGCAGAGATTAAAGAAAGCCTTAAGGATCGAAGTAGAGATTACTTTGATGGTGGATCCGTCCAGCAACAAGTTGCGCTAGGTTTTCGAGAGAGAGTAGTTTTGAATACAGATCAAAAATTCGATTCTAGGGATCTACGACGAGGAAGAAGGTATTTATAATCCTTTTTTTATTTCTTCTTTTGAATTGTTATTCTGGTTTCGGGCCGTAAAACAAACGGTTGGGTCTTGAATTTACTTAAAGGCCTGGAGTAGGCCCATATAGTCACAATCTTCTTACTGAGTAAAACGCTTGTCGTTAACATTTCTGAAGCATAAACATTTGTAGCACGAAATTGCTTTGCCAGATTGATTAAGATTTAGTAGGTCGCATCCATGTTTACAAATAATATTCGATGTTAATCTTAGGTGAACCCGCATAAGAAAAGCAATTAAAAACTCCAAAAGCAATATTAGAAAAATCACACGTGTATTGTGGTGCATGTGGATAAGTCATATTAACAAAGTAAACTTACAATGGAAGTAATGAAAGAAACTATATTCTTAGGAACCAAATGCCACTCTTTGTACAGAGTCTGGACGTCGTTTTGAAGGCATGCGAATGAGTCCTGAAATCTGAAGCTCCATTACAGCTCTGCAAAATCGAGCTCTGTTGGAAACAAATGTTAAGGAATCGCAAGCTTAGTAGAATAAATATATATATATATATATATGAAATCAATGATAGCGTAAACTTATGCAACATGTCCTGCAAAATGAAGGAATAAACAAGGATGAGCATTGGTGTTATATACTAATTATCAAACGGCTTTAAAGGATACTGAATTAAAGCTTCAGAAGGTGCTTCCGGTTCTTCGCATCTATCCTTCCGTTTCTTCGTCTTTGATTTCTGATTGGCTTTGCTACTCCGGGGGATAAGTATCGTCTTGAAAGATTGATACCAGTCATGGAGATTGATTACATCAGCGTGCTCTTGCGCCAGCGTGTACCTAGAAGATACTCAATTATCACAAACCTTTTCGTTACAACGAAACAAATAAAGAAGAAACAAGTCCGTTTGTGTTCATGTGCATATATATGTGCCGACGGGAATCTCTCAAAATCATATTCCAGAAAAGACAAAGTGAGAATGCAGGTGTATAGAAAGTGTAGGAAGACTCACAAAATCGATGTATCGTGCATGGAAGGCAATAGAGTTGTGCCTCTTTGGCTGCAGCACATACAGTGGAGGATATTGTGAGATTCCAGTAGATCTGACTGGATTCTGCCTCTCGGGTCTCCAAGAAAAGCCTTAAACAGATATTCAACATCAGATTAAGGAGAGAAAGAGAGAGAAAGCCACATGTAAAATCTTGAGCACCAAGAGAAGCGAGAAGACAGCATCAATCGTTCTATGAAAAAACGAATCAGTTAAAAAGAATGATGCTAAAACTAATTTCGAACTAATCAGGTAACCGGTTTGCTTTAAGTTGATGAGACTAATACCACAGGAGCAGCTTATAACAATTGATTTCTAGTATGTAACTTCCAAGTAAAGTGAATCCGAGAGGAATAAAGATGCTGAAGACTTACAGATTGAAGTTTATCGACATTTTTGAAACATAAAATTTCATGGAAAGGAACACTCTCAACTGGCTTCATATATTCCCTGTTCCATACATAAAGGCCACCATTAATTCGCAAGACGCGTACAAAACATCTTGGTGACAACGTTTTCAATTACAGCAGTGAAATCAAAAGCAAGTAGAGTTCAATTATGCGTACAAAACATCTAAACTAATGTAGAGTGCAAAACCAAGTTGTTTCCTTCGAAGTAAAAAGACTCCGTGACAGAGTAGAGTTCACCTTAGCATAAATTCTATGACTGCGGCAACCTTATCAGTCATGGCTTTAAGCTCTTTTTCAAGCTTTGAATTGCTCCGGGATGCATGCTTTCTGTCACATCAAAGTGAAACTTTTTTTGTTCAGTGTACAGGGTTTACTGAGATGAGCAACATAAACTAATGAGTACAGGAACTTATGTATATATATAACTGAATCAAACACAGCTGAATAAGACACTGAGACTACTCATCAATCATTTACCATACACAAGAACGATGGGGACAAAGGAAAACATATCTCAAGAGACCAACTTTCCTAGAAGATCTGCTGGAGGGAAGCCAGAAATTAAAAGGAAAAACAAAGACAAGTTCTTTGAACTCATACATGGTGTTCGGTTTGAATAGACAACAATAAGAGATTTACTTTGGGCTGTTGGGAAGTCCTTGTCGCTGGCCAGCTGCTTCCACGGATTTCATGAACGGATGCAATTCCATTACTTTGTCATTGATCTAACAGCAGAGAACAAACAAACAAGTAAATAGCTCATCTAGAACCACTATGAATTTAGAATTGAGGATGGACAAACATATATCACAGAAATGCTCGAAAACAATCGAAAAAGATCCTGAGTGATTCACTTTTTCGCAATCTATGCAAATATCTCTAATTCAAGTAACAATTTTCAGAGACGCAAATTACAAGACAAAATTCCTATGCACAAGGGATATTGGAAACATAGAGAGATTAAGATGCTTTAGCTCAATGGAAATGAAAGAACACTAACCAGAAGACGAAAGAAACCTTTTAAGGACAAATGAATTTATATGTCACATACGAAATATGCAAGACAAGAGTAACGGTCAACACTTGATAAATTTTACTTAACGATTACCTCACTGAACTCCGCAGAGAGATTTTCCCAGCTTTTCAACAAGCTAGACAACTGTGAAGGTGAAAGATCCCTGAGAAAATTTGAACTCAAGAGTTTCAGAACTTTTGAGACAAGCTCCTTGTAGAGATAGTAACACAAGCTCTCAATGACCCAAAAATTTTCAAGCCTACCTACTCGAGAGCAGAGAAATTTATTAATTGATCTAACATGATGTAACAAGCTAATTTTGTTCCACTAATTTCGCAACACAGCATACGTACACACGGATGCCATCTACAAATAAGATAAGACAACTTATGTGCGCCTCCCATAAGTTTAAGAGAATACTGGCTGCTATTGTGTGAGAAGGAAACTTCACGTTTCCTCCTTACAGCATAACTCACCTAAGCTTGCGCAGAATCCGTCTGATAACACTCTTAGGTCCTGAAACGTGACTCTGACAGTTGACAGTTGCTGAAGGTAAAAAGTATTTCAAGTAACGTGCTTCTGGGTCAAGTGTCTCACAGAATATGTCTAGCAATCGAAGTTTATCAAACTTCCCAGCTTCATATATGCACTGCAAAAAAGTATACAAAGAATCTGCTGATCAATTTATCCAGAAAGCAGAAATACTCTAATGAAGAACAGAACTGGCTCAATTTCCTCTTATCATCTATACTAGGAGAAGCATAGTATGCAATATGCATCATGAATCCAACTTAACTGGCAGAAACGCTATGATAAGAGAATTTAAAAAAAACTGCCTTCAAACGGGTAATGAAAAAGAAACAACTTAGGAATACAACTCAAACTTCATGCAGATGCAGATTAGAAAAGTTAAAGATTGAACACATTTCTATGCTACTGGGATGTTCTTCGTAATTCCAAACAGGGTTTTCCACGACATTTCCTATCTAAGTCGTTAATAATATGAGAAATAATTTTCCACATGCAAATGGCATCCCTAAGTCATGTAAGACTACCAAGTAAGTCTTCCTCTGATGATGAAATGTCAAAAAAGAGAGTCAACTCACCAAAACTACAATGCTCCAAGGATGCGGCATCCTTTGCAAGTCCAACAAAAATTGAGGCAGCATTTCACAAGTACTCCGAGTAATTTTATTCCTGGTCAAATGTTTATGAGCAGTAATTAGTACATACGATTTACCATTAATCCACAAGCTCCAATAAGAAGTCCAACACCAGTAACCTGCCCAACAATTCTTCGAAATTAAAATAATAACAGATGGTGAATTCTCTGGGGTACCTCGTCACAGATGGCAAGTCGAAAGCATGCTTCATTGTTGCTTCTGTCAATAGCCCATCACCTTCACCTGACAGCTTTACGGGAAAAAAGCTTCCTTAGAGAAAAGCGAGTTGTGCTTTATTTTATGTTTAATTTGGAAAAATATCTACGGGAAAAGGTGTCTTTGCTCTAGATGACAAATGTAGGGATGCAGATTGTACCACCAAAGATCCCCAATCAGTTCTTTATGCATGTATGCAGTTTTTGTATTACTCATAGATTCTAAATATGGAGAACATGAACGAAAGTTCTTAATCATCAACTACGTTATAATGGATATGGCAGAACCAACTTCACCAAACTCAAATATGATATCTGAGAAAGGAGTACCAGTTTTCTTAAAAAAAAGGAAATTGTGGACAGGAGCCTCAAGCATACCTGATTATCACCATCTTGACAAAAGTGCTCGAGCATGATGCTTAAAGGCTCCAATGAGAAATGCTGAAGACAAGCTATCTGACAAAATAATGTAAAGCCAAATGAACAACAAAAAAGTTAGCAATCTAAAACAAGTTGAATCCTGATATAGCATATATGATAGAGCTACAAACAAACCTTCAGAGTTCTAACAAATGATGTCAGTGTTCCATCTTGACACAAAAAGTAATTTCTCATAAAAAGCGCCACCTTGTGGCTAACAGTGAACCCAGAACACGGCTTTAAGAAGACAGCCTCGAGAATTGCATCCATCCGTTCGGCCGGAGAACTCAGAGTGAACCTAGTAGCACAAAGTCTCTGCAGCGCGTTCGCTGGTAGTATCTTTCTAGGCGCATCGTGTGCTGTCGACACACCCATTATTAGAAAAATTGGAACTTTGACTGCACATTCACTGAAGAGACAAAAAAAAATTGAAAGAACAGGTCACCAAATTTTGAAACCTCAACATGATACAATGTAAACGTAGCAAGCATGAAGATGTGCTAATACCTCAATATAAGAATTAGATCCGACAGGACAGTCCCACAGCATCTCTCTGTATCATCCACAATTATAACTACCGGATTCTTATGGTTTCCGTTTTCTCTGTACCATGATGCGAGAATGGTTACATCAGCCACCTGTTTAAAAATCGCGTTAACGAAAGAAAAAGGACTCAGTGGATACATTAATTGTGCAAGCAGGTTACATAACTAAATTATATGTAAGGACTATGCAGGTTTTTACTAACATCTATGGTTGGCATCACAAACTGGCGTAACAAAACCCTAAGGCAACCTCCTACACCATTCTTGGCTGAGAAGTCCATGGACGAAAGCTTAGCCACATGACATCCTTGAGACTTCAAATGCAAATCCAGTTCTTCATATGTCAATAAATCATCAACCATTTCAAGATTCCCTGACGTCAATACAAGGTTACTACATAAGTATAAGCGCAATAATTGTAACTGGTCACTTGTTCTTTCTTAGAGCCAATATCGAGTATAATCATTAAGTGCAGTGGATGTATGAACTCTGAATCTGGTAGTAAATTCCAAACGAAACACTAATCTTTAGAGAGACTTACTAGTAAGGACCAAAGCAGTAAACAATTGCTTGGAAGAAGCCTGAGTTAAAACAGGATAAGACCGAACTGCTTCCGCTAAACTCAGTGCTCCAGATGATCTGATCGAATCAAACGATTGCCGTATCCAATCATGTATCCCATTGAATACTTTAGAGTTGGAATCTCTCAGAACATCCTGCGATTGAAAAAAATTCCAACAAATGCAACTTTTATTTGGAGTTTAAAGAATCAAACACATTTGGAAGAAATTTCGAGAGAAAAGAGTGAGACCAACTTCGATTGTCTTCTCGATTTTCGACCAGACAGTCTCGAAAACTTCCAAGCGTAGCGGTGAATAAAAATGAACATCTTCCTCTTCCACGGTTTCGAGCTCAGTCTTCTTAGCAATTTTAGGTGTAGTTGACTCGATCCTCCGCTTGCTTTTCACCGTCCCAGTTGATTTTCCCTGGAGACTCCCAGACGAAGCCTTGTGGAGGACAAAAAATGGCTGCCATAAAAACCGAACAAAAAAAATCAGAACTTTGGGTTTCTTTCTCGCGCTGGAAATTCCGAACGACGCTTTAGAGAATAGTATGATTCAAAATTTGACGGAGAGATAAAAGAGAGGAGACCCGAATATCATTCTCTGCTGTGTCGCCGGAATTGAATGAATCGGTGGTTGAAGATGGCGGAGGATCGGCGACGGTGCCGGAGGGCGCCATGGGAGATCGTCGTTGGGGATAGCAATCGAGAAATGACTCTCACTTTTAGGTTTAACGCGCCTGCAACTCGTGCCGCTCTTTTTTGGCGGGAAAATGCGTGCGCCGGCCATTAGAAGGGAGTTCTCAAAATTAAACCAGATTGGACCGGAATTGGGCTCCAACCGGGAATCGAGTACCGCGGTATAAATTACTTGGGGAGTTACTGCTCATTGTTTTCTAGCTGATTATTTTACTCGTGGCCCTAAACTTATGATCTTCTAGACCAGCATTTATATAGAACATGTACAAATCTATTTCTCTTGTTTTTCTAAAAATCATGCATTTTTAATCGAGTTTCTTTCTATGCTCGTTGGTGGTCGTTTTAATAAGCAAGGTGTAATTATTTGGAGCATTTGATAGTGAACTCAATCAAATCATGTTTTTTTTTCCATTCGACCAAAATAAAGTCCACAAATGTTTTTTCTTAACAAGAAAAAGTATGTACATACAATGGAAATGTAATTTTAGACCGCAATTTAAAGTGATCCTAAGTTAAAAAAAAAAACTCAAAATGAAAGAAAGAAATAAAAAAGGAAAAGGGAGACTGATTCCTTCTTCTTCGCGTTTAAAAGAGTCTTAGGAGAAGAGGTGGAATCAGATACAGAGACAACAGGATAGAAGAGAAGGTAATTAATTACTGTGGGGTTCTGTAATAATATACAGTTATTACCATTAACCACGTTTAAAAACTCTTAAGCTTCTGCGACTAACCAAACAAACAAATATTCGTCAAAACATTTAATTAATGGTAGAAAATTTATACGACTGTATATATCTATGTGTATATACGCGTGCGTATAGATCTTGAGAAGTATATATCTACAGTTTTCATCTCTGCCTCATGTTGTTTGTATATCACGAGGAAAAGCGAGAACCCAGAAGAAAAACTAGGGAGCCATCATCACTGAATTTTATAACAGTGAAGGAAAGAGAGCGAGAGAGTTTTCTCTGAGGGGGAAAATAGTAATCGAATCTGGGTATAGAGAAGTTAGGGTTTGTAGTTTGGAGAAGGAAAACGGAGGAAAGGGAAGTTAGGGTTTTGTTCGTTCCCGATTGGGTGATGTAGATGTTGGGGAAAGCCAATTCAAGGGGGAGGTGATTTTGAGACCTGAATCATGTAATGTTATTTCCCAATTTTAGGGATTTTGTTTTTTTGATTGTGTATTCGTTAGATTATCTCTAAGATTCCGTGTTTTATGGGTTCGATCTCCTCATAAGAAACTGGTTACGACTCTCCATGAGTTTTATTGTTGATTAATTTGATGATTTCTGTTGGGAGTTGATCACTAGTTCAAATTTTCTTTTCTGGGTCAATTAGAATCATTGTCTGATGATTGGTTTAAATATGAAAAATTTGTTGTTTAGCAGCATGATCAAATTGTTGTGCAGTATATGTATATTAATATGTTGTTTGTCCATTTGTAACAGTTGGAAAGAGCTGCATAGATATCGGTTTGTGAGTCGGGCAGATTAATTATACTGTAGATGGTGAGATTAGCTAAAACCCCTCTCTTTTGCATGTTTAGGCTTTGATCATGAAGTCACGCAAGCTTTTGATCGTTTAAATTTTTCATTTTGATGGTCACATAATTCACTGATTTGTTTTGTTTTGTTTTCTTTACTGTTCCTGTCAACCGCCTCTCTCTCATTAACACTTTCTATGTAACTGTTATCACCTGCAGGCTGATAGAAGAGTTGGCAAGCGTTCAATGGATCAGAGAGGTTCTTCAAAACTGGACTCTGGGACATGTAATGTTTGTTCTGCTCCCTGTTCATCATGCATGCATCGCAACGTAGGTTTCACAGGATCAAAGTTGGACGAGTCATCAGATGAAAACTGCCATGGAGTTGCTGGTAGCCAGTGTTCTGTAAACGAGGACGGTCTTTTGCCTTCTTCCGTGGTTAATGCTCGCAACAGTTCAAATAACACTGCTAGTGAAGCAAGCAACCTTGCTAACTCCAGTCATGATGCTCTCTCTGAGAGTGCCGAGAGTAAGGAAACTTCAAAATGTTCTGGATTGTCGGATGATTCCCGAGCTGCTGCAATGATTTCGAAGACATATCAATCTGGGAGGAGGATGAAAAATAAAGTGAGTGCATCAGCTAATGTGTTGGATCAGAGCTCTAACTGTATAGAGGGCCAGGAAGATGGGATATTGTCTGATGATCGAACCAAAAAATTGAATTCAGGTTATCCTAGTAACAAGATAGTCGACAAGGGTTCAGCTGATGGTTCATCTCTGGTTTCTGATCCAATTCCGGGTGGATCTAGAAAAGGTGAAGATTCCACTATGGTAAAATGTTCGAATGTTCTTTCAAATGATGTGAAATCACAATCTTTGCACAATCCATCATCCAACCATGAAGACAGAACCAGTTCAGAGCGAGGAAATTTCAAGGAAAACTTAGGACCAGGGGGTAACAAAGGCAAAGAGGAACCTTCTGGGCAGAACGGGAAGGAAGGGAAGTCAAGTAAAAGCGCTTCCTTCAATAAATCAAATGAGTCAATCTCGTCAGCTACGTCTGAGAGCGAGAGTGATGATTCTGAAATGGTGGAACATGATGTAAGTATTGCTGTTTCGTCTCATGATAGAATTAGTGAATACTTCGACTTTATTTTTGGCTGTAATACCTGCTCTTAATTTCCATGTGGAAAAAAATCTCATGTGAAAACGTTTTCTTTTTTTTTGATGAACAGGTAAAAGTTTGTGATATCTGTGGAGATGCGGGTCGTGAAGATTTACTCGCAATCTGCAGCGGATGCAGTGATGGTGCAGAACACACGTAAGCTTGCTCTTCTAGTCATGGAAAGAAAACATACTTATTGCAAAAATTTAATTTAGGATTTATAATTTGATTTAGTTATCGATCTTATGTGCTAATAATATAGTTTTTTACTCAGCTATTGCATGCGGGAGAGGCTCAATGAAGTTCCTGAGGGTGATTGGCTCTGTGAAGAATGCAAGTTTGCTGAGGAAGCAGAGAAACAGAAGCAAGGTAAAGCTGAACATTTAATCGAGCATGCTATTTGTGAAATTTGTTTTTATCGTAATGAATTAGCTAGCAGAATTTGGATTCACATTTGCTATTTCCATCTTTCTAACGAACTTGAAGTTGAAACATGCAGAAGCTAAGAGAAAAAAAGAAACTGAGGCAATCCTCAATACACATAGCTCAGGCAAAAGGCATGCAGATAAAACTGAGGCGGCTCCAGATGCTAAAAGACAGGCGGTTGACAGTTCGACTGGGTCACCCAAGAAATCTGTTCTCCCCAGAATAGGTGCGTTATCGCGGGAAACATCATTCAAGGGCTTAGACAGGCCAAGGGGAAAGCTTAATCATCAATCATCTTTCAGTGATGACACAGAAGCTGCACGATCTACTGGTTCACAGCTTCAACCTCCAAAAGGTAGGCTACATAATGGGATTTCTCTCCCTAGGTGCAACTCTGCCTTATCTATCGTGTCATATTTCTGGTGATTTTGTAGGTTGTAAAACATTACCCCCTTTTTTTGGTCCAGGTGCATTTTTGAAATCCAGTTCCTTCAATTGTTCGAGCTCGAAACCTAAAGTGCAACTTATGGAGGATCTTATTCTCCCGAGAAAGAAGACTGTGAAAGAATGTACTTCTCTTGATATAAAGGAAGGTGTTTCCAGAAATGTAGGCAAATCATTGTCAAGTAGAACTACAGATGCTGGGAGTTCTAGTGGAAACGATTCACAAGCAAAAACGCTTGGATCGAAAGTTTATCATTCACAAGAAGGTAAAAGCTCCAAGCAACTGAAAGATCGTAGTACGGAAGCTAATGCGTCATCCCCCACCGACCAGAAGCTTACTTCACGCAGCAATTCGTCTACTTCATTTGCAAACAATACCCGTGATTTGAAGGGTTTGCAGCCTGATGGTAAAAGAGGTGGCTTGACGAAGCAAGTTAGCAATCTAAACCGAAATCGTCAAGAAAATCTGGTTGCTTCTGGTATGATTCTTACCATTTTGCTTCTGCTACGGCATCTTTGATAGTACTTTGTGCATTATTGTATATTCTCCCTTTTAAAGATATCATGATTGAGCTTCACCCTTTGCAGGAGGTGATATTTCCACAAATGAAAAGTGCGAGCAAAGTTCAAGTCAAGCGGATTGTAAGGATGAACTGCCATCCACTTCCTGCGCGGGTGAGGGTGTGCCAAGCAATGGTAATGTAGCTTCGCAGGATGGATTACTGCGTTCCAGGGAATCTAGAGAGGCCGTGAAGAAAACCAAAGAAGCCTTTGTTAGGCGCCAAAAGGCTAGCGTGTTATCTGGTGCAAAAGGCTTACCAGCATCTCAAAAGGGAGGCCAGACTGCAGAATCTAGTGACACCTCAGGCGTTTCTGATATTGATCTCTCTACCACAAAAAATGCTAGGGAGGACATTAACAAGGGTAATAGGTTGCGAGCAGCAGTAGATGCTGCTCTCCGTAAAAAGCCCAGCTTTAGCAAGAACAGAGGATTGGAGCAGTCTGATGTGTCTTTGGTATCTAATGTGGACTCTAGTTCTGATAAGACTTTACGAAACCAATTGCCTTCAAAACTGCATAAGAGCTATGTGCCACACGAAGGATTGCACGGGGGGCATCCGACTTTATGGCCTGCTTCTGACCCTTACAAACAGACAGTAGTAATACATGAGAAGCAGCCTGTACTCTCTGGTGCTGATGCGATGCCTCCACGATCTGTGGAACCTGAAGTTAATTTTCCCTCTGTGAAGCCTGTGATGAGAGATTGGCAACTAGTAGCCCCACCTGCTCTGTTGAGAAGCTCAGCCATTCCAGACCATGAGTATATATGGCAGTAGGTTTCTTTCCTTTTTGTGAAGAATATTCTTTTTGACTTTTCCTTTTTCTTTCCTATATTGAACTGTGAATTTTTATATCATTTTTCCAGAGGGAACTTGGAGGTGCGGAAAACTAGATATCAGTCGGCTGTGCATAACGGAATGCAAGCACATCTATCAACCTTAGCATCGCCCAAGGTTGCGGAAGTAGTGAATAAATTTCCAGAAAAGTTTAGCTTGAGTGAAGTACCTCGGCTAAGTACATGGCCTGCACAATTTCAAGATATAGGTACTAAGGAAGACCATATAGCTCTATTCTTCTTTGCAAAGGATGTTGACAGGTGGGTTGCATATAAGGTTATTACTATTTACCTGCTTTTTTTTGTGTGTTTGCTGTTCTAAATGTTTTAACTTTTTTTATCACTGACTGAGAGTTTCGTTGCTGCTTGTGTGATACAGTTATGAGAGAAATTATAAGCCCCTGGTGGATAACATGATCAAGAAAGATTTAGCCTTGAAAGGAAACCTCGATAATGTTGAGCTTTTGATTTTTGCATCCAACCAGCTACCTCCGAATTGCCAGCGTAAGAATGCTTACCAAAACTCTTACATCTTGTGCACATGATCAAAATGTCATTTCTCTTAGCAATTTTTCAGATTAATGTCTTACATTATCATTTGATATAAGTGGAGAAAGCACTTATATCAGCACTAACTTTATTAATTGCAGGTTGGAATATGTTATACTTCCTTTGGGGTGTATTCCGAGGAAGAAAAGAGATCAGCACTAACCCACAAAAGCTCACATCTTTGCCTAGTTCAAATGTTTTGCCGCGTGACCAAGACCCCAATGACTTGTGCCAAACGAGTTCTCATTCCAAGCATTTGGAGAAAGCGTCTTCTCGACGTGAGAGCTCACACAACATAATTGAAACTCAAAATAGGACTGATGTATTTAGCCATGAGAATCCAAGCGACAGAGAATCCTCAATCGAGCGCTCATCGAGCACAAAGGTAGGTTGTTCTCATGACTTGGTTAAATCATAAATGCTTTTTTTTTTGTCTCTATCACTTTGAACTTGGAGTAGGGACAGTTTCATTTTCTTAACTTCATCGTTTTCCCGTGTTGTCTTACTCTTGAATTCCTTGATACAGGAGGAAATTGCTCGTAAAGAGGAGGAACCAGGTGCGAATCATATTCCTTGTCCAGCCACTGGATCCAATTCTGGAGATTGTTTGGTGAAGAAGGTTCAGCAAAATGAAGAGCAAGAACTAGGTGGTAAAAAGGATCTGCCTTTGAATGTCACGGGCTCAGAGATCCAACCCCATGGCCAAGACAATCCTCCAGAGAAAGATGTCAATTTTAATCAGGCTAATCACAGGAAGCGTCCACTTTGGGAACTGACAAGATCCTCCACCGAGAATTCCTCTGCCGTGAACCAGAAATTGGAGCTCAAAGATGATGGTTTATGTGAAGGATCTCCGAGTAAGAAGCCGAAGACAGAAAACGAAAGCAGCAGAGTTTCCCTGGATGCATTTGGTAATGATTCCGGGATCATGAAGAAGACTCCCAAAGTCGTGTTCCCTTTGGACTTGAATGCGGAAAGAGAAGAAGACATTGAAATGGAGGATGATTTCATTCCACTTGGAAACAACAACACCAACGACAACGAGAGACGGTTAAGCGGTACTACAGTCCCGAATCTGGAGCTGGCATTAGGAGCTGAAGAAACGACACAAGACACTATGGGACTATTGCCTTTCTTAGCGGGAAGAACAAACTCTGGTGAACAAAGTAGTCATAGTATGAATAAAGAAAAAGAGAAAGAAGAAGAAGACGATGACGCAGGGGTGGCTGCTTCTCTCTCCTTATCACTCTCATTTCCGGGCGAGGAGAGGAAGAATGCGAATCCTCCGTTGTTTCTCTTCAGAAACATTCCCAGAAAATAAGTTATCCTAAGTTTATTTTATTTTATGAGTGCCCTTAGTTGTTTTTGTTTTTTTTTTGGGTTGGTGAAGAAGACTCCAACGAGATAAAATCACAGGTTTTGTATATAAAAATGGTGGTTGAAAAGAAAAAATGATACCGAATAATTGGTGAAATCCATAGAAGAACAAAAAAAGAGTGTTATGTTACATATATGAATGCACTGAGATTTGGTTACCGTATTAGCAAAGTAAATCATGAGAATGTAAGTGGTGAAGGGTAGTCTAGTAATTTCGCGTAAATGGACAATATCCGAAATGAGTCAGCACATTCTTCTTCCCAGTTGTTTCCTCAGATCTCTCTCTTCATTTACATTTCCAATGGCGTCATGTGTTGCTCATCTTTCTCTCTCTGGTAATCGATTCCTTTTCACTTCATCCCGCTTCTTAATCTCTTTACCTATCAAAGCTCCACTAGTTTCCATCTGAAACTCAAATCGGTTTGTTTACGGAAAATTTCAAATCTTCAACGATGTATGTCTATTGATGTTCCCATGATAATAGGCCGATTGCATCTTTGAGTTTCCCGATTGAATTAGTAGGAGAAGTTCTATGCCGATTGTTCTTTTGATTTGTAGTTTCCGGTAGAATTATTTTTACAGAGCTTTCTCATGATATGATCGTATCGTTCCTTTATAAGTTCTTTCTTTTCACTGCAAATTGGTTCTGTTTTTCAGTTTCAGAAAACTAATGAATTGAAGGATCAGAACATTTTTGTTGTTTGCGCAAATAGTAAGGGACTAAACAAATATCAAGATGTGGAACTCTTAAAGTTGCATTTTTTGGTTTGTAAGAAGTTTTGAGGGGTTCATATAAGGCAAAAAAGGCAAGCTTATTGATTGATTCGGGTTCTTGAATCTGGTGGCACAGGTTCTCATCATGTGAAAGCAAATGAATTGTCTTCCACAAAGCTCAATTCGATTTGTAAAACCTCTGCATTGGCTATTCAGAAGAAATCAAACCGGAATCACAAGTTCTCGGTATCTGCAGGGTATCGGTAAGTTGTATGTGTATCGCTATATCATTTTCTCTTGTCGTGTGCTTGGCTTGAAATCAAAAGACAAAACTGTTGAAACTTTCTTGTCCTAATGATTTTTCAGAGATGGGAGTAGGAGAGGAAGCGGTGGCGATTTCATAGCTGGTTTTCTTCTGGGAGGCGCTGTCTTTGGCGCTGCCGCGTATATCTTTGCTCCACAGGTAACTTATCTTACTGTCACTATGTCTTTAATTCTCTTGGAACCCCACAATTGGAAAATATAGACATAATATATAGCTCATGTTCAACGATTTTTGGACGATTCTATGATGAGTTGATTGAGATTTTGTTCTCATGACTGTTCCCTTTGTTCTTGGAGCTTTGGGTGATCTTTTTAAGATCATTCTCATGCAAATCTAAAGCTATTTTTGCTTGTGTTTTGGTGAAGCAGATCCGAAGATCGATTCTGAGTGAGGAGGATGAGTATGGTTTCAAGAAGCCGCAACAACCAACATACTACGATGAAGGTTTAGAGAAAACAAGAGAGACACTGAATGAGAAAATCGGACAACTTAACTCAGCAATTGACAATGTCTCGTCGCGTTTAAGAGGTCGACAACAGAACACTTCTTCGCCCAATGTACCGGTCGAAACTGACCCAGAAGTTGAAGCTACGACCTGAAGAGAGAGAGAGAGAGAGAGACAAACATTTTTCTTCTCCTCTGTTTCCCATAATTAATGTTTGATTTCGGTTTTTTCTTGTTTATTTTGTGGTCAGACCTCTTTGCAAAGTGAAATATACAGTCTTTTGTTTTTTGTGAATTTTAATCCTCATTTGGTTTGATTCAACACATCATTTTAAGATAGTGGATAAGACGTGAGATAATCAGAAAAAAATTCAACATTTAAAAGAGAAAATAAATAAAGACAGGAGAGATAGATAAACATTGGCCGGTGGCCTCGTCACAAATCCAAAATATCCTAAAAGGAACCGAAAACTCAAAAAAAGCCAAAGCCTTTCTCAGACAGCAATCCGCACACAAGATATTCGATTCAACCTTTACCAATTTTCTCAAACAGTTTCGGTTTTGATTTTGTTGAAAAGGAAAGAGAGACACCTGCAATAATACCCTTTCTCTTTTAGGGTTTTTGGGGGTTTCTATTTGATGATGTGCGAGGAGATTCTTCCTCTGTTCGTGTCTGTGTCAGATGGAAGATCATGATAAGTCTCCTCCTCCTCCCCCGAAGGTAAAGTCACGAGTCTTTCGAATCCGTTGTTTTTGAAAAGTTCCTGGAAAAATGGTTGAGGTCGATGGAGATTACGTTTGTTTCTGACATATCTGGTTTAGATAATGTCTGATTTTTAACTTGAGTGGGAACATGAAGATCTAATACTCTTTAGATTCAAAAAGTTGTCCACTTTTCCAAAGATTATTACTTTAGAATTCTGGAAAATGGTTATGTTTGCATGTTTTCTTTTCATTTTCATTACAACTTTTTTGTTTTTGTTTGAAGGATTACTATAAGATTCTAGAAGTTGATTACGACGCAACTGAGGAATTGATCAGACTGAATTATCGGAAGCTTGCATTGGTTAGTGAAGTCCCTCTTGAATATCTGTTTAGATGTCGTTATTGCTTTTAGATTGAATTTTTCTGTTACTAGATTGAAAGAAATTGAATTTCTTTGCTGAGAATATTTTGCGGTTCTATCTACAGAAGTGGCATCCTGATAAGCACAAAGGCGATAGTGCAGCTACAGAAAAATTTCAAGAGATAAATGAAGCTTATAACGGTAAGTCTTTTATGCATAGTCGGTTTCTATGCATTAGAACATATATAATAACGCATTTTAGTACTCTAGGATCTAGGTAGTGCCAAGCTTCAGTGAACTATATTTGCTTATCTTCATTGGTCCACGAAGAATAATCCATGACAGAGAACAGATATTTAGGAAGAGAATGGAAAAATCTAGAAAGTAGATAGAAGTTTTGAAGAGTAGAAAAGAAACAAAACTTAGCAATGAGGGAACAAATTACCTATGCCTTCAGCGTTATCAATTTAGCTCTTTAGCCTTTATACTTGTGTTTGTAGTATTGATACAACTCTGTATAGTTTCGATCCTCAGATGATTTTACATCCCATCTCCATCCCTGCCTATCTTTTGTATTTCTTTCTTTAAGACTTCACAGCTTTTTTGTTTTGTCTGTGGTCATTTTAGTTATAGCTTGAAACATCTTCATCTTCTTTATAGTCTCTTATGCTTCTTCTATCAACACTTGAGACTGTAATAGAGGACAATGCTCTCTCACTCTCTCGTCATGTCTTAAATCAATCGATTTCCTAATGTTACATATCTTCCCCTCTCTCTCTCTCTCTCTCTCTCTCTCTCTCTCTCTCTCTCTCTCTCTCTCTCTCTCTCTCTCTCTCTCTCTCTCTTTGGCAGTGCTGATGGACCCTGCTACACGTTTTGAGTATGATTTAACCGGTATTTATGAGATCCACAAGTATACTTTACGGGTGCGTCACATTTTGGGATTCATAAAATCGTTCTTGTTTTTACATTTTTAGAAAAGAAAAAAACATGGTATCTAGTTTTTGCTGACTTTTTGAGATGTCCCAATGCTTTCTTTAGGAATATCTCGCGAGATTTAAGGGAATGATACTCACTTGCAATGGACTTGGCATCAGCCAATCTTCATCACCATGGTAAGCTCTCTAGATTTTCAGTTTTGTTTCTCTACAATTATATCATGAAACTGTATATATATATATATATAGTAGCTCGTCTTCATCGGAAAAACTTTTGACTGCAGGACACATCAATTGTCTGAGACCACCAACAAAACAACGGATTAGCAAAGGTTGGTTTTCTTTTTCTTATCTCTTCTTGGCACTGTGCATCAAAAACCCAATTTTTTAGATCCATTTCTGAATATCACAAAACAAAGTTTCTCATTATCTTCACAGGATACTGTATAAACCGAAAGCAGAAGTTAAGAGCAGAACTGTAAAACTGTGTGAAGATTCTCAGACACTTCCCCGTCTCACCGGCTTTTAACAAGGTGTGTGTTGTGATGTACAAAACTGGAGCCGTAGCGCGAAGCATTGATGATATATTGAAATGCTTTTAATTAGATGTTGTAATGTTTTTGAATCGATGTAGAATTTAGAGAAAGCTTATATATTGTCTCAGGTTTCTTTTCGTACATTCACACATTGGTGATGGTTCAGGTCTTGTACTACTACTACTACTCTCATCATTCATTGTTTTTCAGACTTCGAGACATGGAAAATGAATAATAAAAATCTATGAATTGAAGCTTCTTATCTCGGAGTAGTTTATTTCAGTGCTACATAAAGTAGAATGGTTCTTTTACAACACACATTCCAGTGAAACCTGAAAAATGGAACATGAACTTTGCAAGAGAATACATACCAAAAACTGAGACATAAACTTTGTAAAACAATACATTGGTATACAGTATAAAGAATGAATGTACAATTTTAAACTGAGATAAGTCAGTGACCTGAGAACATGGCTTCATATCATAGATTCAGCTTTTCTCATAGAATCCCAACTTGGGCTTTGAAAGACCTGTTGTTTTCATTCCAACGGCAAACATCCTCTAGGAGAGAAACCAGATAAATATCTGATGCGAGCTTCGAATCTGTAATGTCTGTCAATAAATCTCCTGGTGTGCAGCTTAGGCGCTGATATTCATGATCTCTCCTAACGAATATGAACATGTGTTAGCTCATCTCATAGTATCCCAAGCTCGGCTTCGAAAGATCTGAGTTGGTATTTCCAGCGGAAACGCAACCATCTCATTGAGATCACTGGAGCCTGACCCGGAAACAAATATCTAGCAACCTCCCCTGAGATACCTAAGCTGATGCACTTAGTCCTAAATAATTAGCTTCACTATACATAGCACCCATTTGGCAAAATCCCATCTTCCTTCATTTTTCTAAACAGAGCATCCGCTTCACGCCGCAGGCCTTTCTTGTACAATCCTAACATCATCGTAGTGTATGTCCAAATATCAGGCATAAGTCCTTTGTGGTCGAGGCTACAATATAAATCCCAAGCATCTGCCACCTCACCAACTTTACACATCCCGCGAATGATGATATTGTATGTAACTATATCAGCACTCATACCACTCTTTTGCATATCCTCCAGTATCACCAATGCTTTCTCTATCTTCCCACTATCGCATAGACCATGTAACAAAACGTTGTACGTGATGATATTAGGAAGCACGCCAGAAAAAACCATCCCTTTGAAGATTTCTTCAGCAACGTTAAGTTTCCCCACTCGGCAATAACCCTGGATAAGAATTGTGTAGGTGACTGTATTCCTAACCACTCCTCTCTGAGACATCTCGCAGAAAAGTCTCATCCCATGCTCAACCTTCTTCGACTTGCAAAAACCATTAATGAGAATGCTGTAAGTAACTACATCTGGGAAACAACCTTTGCTAACCATAAACTCGAACATTTGCTCCGCTTCATCTAAGCGACTGTACATGCAAAGCCCGTTGATCAGCAAACTGTAAGTGACAATATCAGGATCCAGAGATCTCCGGGTCATCTCCTCGTACAGTTCTTCAGCCTCTGAAAAGTTTCCTTCTTTCACACAAGCATCGATCAACGCGTTGAAAGTAAATACATCAGGGTCGATATCAGTCTTGCTCATATACCTTACCATCTGTATAGCATCGCTCCATCTTCTGGAATTACAAAGGCCAGATATGAGAGAGTTGTAAGTAACTACATCCGGAACAACTCCATCTTTCTCCATTTGGTTCAAAAGATCCAATGCGTGATTCACCTGCTTGCTTTTGCAAAGACCATCAATGAGTGTGTTGTAGATTACAACGTTGGGTTTGTATCCCGTTTCCACCATTCGATCGAACATTGACAAGGCGTCGTGAATCCTATCCCCGCGGCAGAATCCGTTGACAAGCGAGCCAAACGTGACTATGCTGGGCTTATGACCAAGCTTCATCATCTTCCCGAGAAACGATAACGCAAGAGAGAGTCGAGAGCATCGACAGAAACAATTCAACAAGATATTGCAGGTATAGAGATTGTGAGGAATGCCCAACATTTGCATCTGCTCCCAGAGATAGATCACGACGTCGTACTTCTTCATCTTGGAAATGGCACTCAGCAATCTACTAAAATCAGCGATTGAAGGAAGAGGACGACACTGGACCATGTGAAAGAAGAGCTCAAGCGAATCGTCTAATTTCATACAGCGAAGCCCATTTCTCAGTATATCTCGGTAATCACTGCCACCACCAGAATAAGCTCGTCGTCTCGAGAAGCAGAAATCGCAAATGCTAAACGACGGAGAAGTTCCGGGATTACCTCTCTCCAGAAGATTCCGATGAAGAAACGATTTCGCTTTCGAAGAAATCGATCTCCTCATGCTTCAGCTTGAGTTTTCGTTTCCCAATCTCTGAGTCTCAGGATTTGGAGCTATTGTTTGTTGAAGAGAGAGAGAGCTTGAGGAGAAGTGGAAAAACCTCAGCTTTTTTTTTTGTTGGGTTTTTCGGTTTATTAATTGAACCAAAGTGTTTTAAACCGAACCGAATCAGAATCAATCGGTTAACCTTGTTCTGTTTTCATGTTCGTTCTTAGGAGTCGCTCACTCAAAGTGAGTGTGTTTTGTTTGGCTCACAAGATGAAACTGTAAAATGAAGATTGAGTTCGTCCCACAGAAGCTGAATTTCCAAAACTGAAGGCTAAGATCAGATTAAATATAGAAAGCACCAAAAGGATTAATTACAAAACTACCATTGGAACCATTCATTAGCATTAGCAATTAGCAAGCAAGCGTCTGTCTACATTTGTTCAACTTGGACAGAAAAGCCACATTTGCAGCGTTTGGTTTTCACAGAGGTTTCCTCATCAAAGCTTTCTTCCTCATCAACAAACACATGTTCATGTTCTTGTTCATGTTCATGTCCATGGCTTTCATCTTCACTACGAGTCTTTCTTCCTCCTTGTAACCTTCCTCTCTTAACCCCTCCCTGCTTTACAGGTGTTTTCACACTCTTCCCCTTAGCGACCGTCTCCGGTTTCGCTTCAAAGCTCCTCGTTTCCACAACCTTTGAGTTATCGGCGTAACGGTTTTTCAATCTTTCACGGGTTAAGATAGACGAAAGAAGCTGATACCATCTCGAAGCTGCTTGTGTTTCATTCCGTCTTCTCTCCTCTTCTTCTCTCTTTTCTCGTTCCTCTGCATATGCCTAAAAACCCAAACCAAAAGACGAGATAAATCCAAACATCCATCCATATTCAAACCATGAATTTATGTGTGTTCAGATTGTAAAATACGGAGCTGTATGTACCTCGAGGATTGTATCTTTGAACTCGGTGCAGACCACAATACCTTCGAAAACAGGAGTAGCACGTCCACTTCTGTACTCGAAACCAACCATTGCAGGTGCATAATCTATTCCAAATCTCTTGGCAACAGAAAATATTCGAGGAAACCTTAAGTGGACTGTTCCAGGTGGGAGACATTTCTCAGACCAGACATCAACTTGACCACGCTCGTTCTGAAACCCCAAACACACACATTAAAAGGATTTTACACCATTGAAGCGAATAAATAAGACGGACACGAAGGTGCTATTACCTTGGGCACAATTCCATTAACAGCCGGAGGGAGACGCAATGGTTCCATTTGCCACTTCCCATATAGTTCCATGCACCGAGAACCATCTTCATTGTCCTTGTTCCCATCTTCAAAATCTTTTACTTTTTTTAGCTTCGCGTTACGCTTAAGAACCTAAGGTCATAGTGGACTTCAAGAGTTGATTATCAAACCGGAAAAAAGAGGAATGAATAAAGATTATCATCAGAGAGAGAGAAGGAAAAAAAATGATACCTTTACGGGAACTTCATTGGCCTTAAGTTGAAGCCCATCACGAAGCCATCCTTCTTTTGTTTTAAGAGTCTGCACACAGGTTCGAGGATACACGGAATGACCAGAGCAAAACCCCAAAACCGGACCTTTTGGGTGAAGTATCTGGTTCTTGTGAAGCCACTTCTCAATAGCATAGAGTTGGTGAGTTTTATAGGCCTGCAGAATTAGGTAAGGTCTCAGAAAGGTTAAGTGACGCATAAGCTATAAACTTGTTTTTTCAGGTTACACTCTACCTGCTGGTTAGTGGGAAGAGGCTCAGTAAGTGCACGAGTAGCTAACTCCATATCTTCAAGAGCATTCCTTATACCAAAGGACGAGCTACTTGAGCAAGCTCTGTTAGCAACAGGGATTAGGCTTGCGGCTGCCTCTAGTTCTCTAAACGGTGCTAATACCATATCCCACCACCCTGAATCCACCCGTTTGGATGAAATCGTGTGCCACTTTGTACAGTACCTGGGAACGAAAAGTGCCAAAGGAAGTAGATGTAAAGACAAATATATCTAGAAACAGTAAGGTAATAGAAATCGAAATAATAGAGGATCTGGATTGTCCAATAAAGGCAAAACAAAACCTGCGAGTGACATCTTTGGCACCACCTCCCGCGAAGGCAACAACATATCTAAGAAAGGTTTTGCATGCAGCAGCTCCAGCTTCTACACCTTGCTCTGCATCAATCACTCCATTAACAGCATCCACATGGACCCATTTCCCATCCATGTTTTCCCCACTGCAATACACCTCAGCCCAACAAAGAGGAGAATCCACTTTCTTCGAACCGATAGCTGTGGATATAACTTGGTCAGAAACTGACAATCCATCATTTGCTTTTGCTATTTCTCGACTTTTCTCTTTCTCATTCACTTTGGAGCTCTGTTGGTTGTCTGCAGCTGCTGTTGCAGCCAACGCCATGGCTAATTGCATATCGAACTCAACATCTCCTTTCCTCATTGTTCCGTCAGATTTTCTGGACGTTCCTGCCTCACAAGATGAGTTCACTGTATTATCTTGCAACTGATGAGAACCCAAGGGTTTCCCAAGCTGAGGCTCAGAGGTTTCGCAGATGCTTTTATTCTTAACAAGGGAAGAAGATTTGTTTGGGTATGACGACATGACTGGCTGTTTTGGTACCATAAGAGTTGAGGTCTTGAATATCCCATGCTTCTTTTTACCTCTGTTTTGGCCTGGAGATTCATCCTTATCGGCCCCTGGTTTTAGGGATGCAACATCAAGAATAGACACAAACCTGTGGAACTCAAATTACTTCAGAAAACTCGTAACAAGCTTAGCAAACTAAGCCATAGGTATTGTAATACTATCTGACAAAGATTAATATAGAAAAGCAAAACATCAGATGACAAGCATGACAACGAGCATTATGTATCTAAATATCAAGCCAAATAGGACTAAAAAATGCCCATTATTCAAAGTAGCAAGTAGCACATACCGAGTTGTGAGCTTTAACGCTCTAAGCAAAGCAACGGACAGGGCTCCAAGCTGTAAAAATGGATCCCATAAGTTTCCTATAGAATAGCATTGATCAATATTGGATCACTACTTTCCTAAACGGCGATTTAACTTCGGAGAGACCAAACAGAGTATTCTTCACATAAAGAGATTCAAGGTACTTTGGAAAAAAGAAACCAACTTATTTGAATATTTTAAACCCCCAGATGGAGAATGAAACGAAAAGTCTTAAAAATCGATGTTTCAACAACATAAGTAACCAAATCATAATTGGCATACACCTGATCACAAGCTTACCTCTTCAGGCGTGCCTCTACGAGATTCAAGAGCAAATGCTAGAGAAGTACGAAAAGATTTCTCAGAGCTGGGAGTACACCTAACAGAAAATTTTCCACGAACCTACAGATTGAGATAGGAAAGAGTTGCTCAACGTTCCATCAGAGACATAAGAAAAGCATCAGACAACTAAAGTTGCTTAACATACCCAACGAAGAAAAGGGGCTATGTCCCTAACAGTAACTTTCTCCAGATTTGATACTTTTGACAAGTGTGATGGTAGAAGTGAAAGCAAGGACGCCTGCGCATCAAATTCAACAATTAGGCAAAAACTAGCACAAGTTGCAACAGATAAGCAAGCAATAAGAAAAAATATTACTTTAAAGCAACAGCTAACACAGCTGTAATAAAGGGATAAAAAATATTTACCTGAATCAAAGGATCATTACAAGCGTTGTCAACTATCCTCCCTCTTGCAAGCAGACAGAGCAAGTGAACCTTGTGGACAAGTTCCGCCCGTTCCTTTACGAGAAAGCACAGTTTTCTTTTTAAGTAGCCATTCAATTTTTGAAGTAATCTTATAGCATATCTTAAGCACAGCATACCTTGTCTTCCGCTGTTGCGCGGTAAGCATTCTTCTGCGTCTTAGTATCAGGCACATCATCAAACTCTATGGTTAACTCTCTGGTTTCATCAATCTCTGCATCAACCGTGTTACCAAGACTAGGAATTGGACAGTCTTCCCAGTCTGAATCATTCATTTCATCATCATCACATCCTGCACTTTCACCATATTCCCTGTCCTGTATAACGTTCTCAGTTAATTTTTCCTCTACGGCTTGCTTCCCCTTCTCGAGTACGCCTTTATCCCGCTGCAATGATAGAAAAATCAGAATGCTTTCACAGACATTTATATAGATCATGAAAACTAATTATTGGTTAGTACCACAGACTTCTCAATCTTCAAGAAAACCTTGTCAAGCAATCAATTGAAATCGCTGCTCCTAACATCTTTAAGTACATTAGTATGCTTGGTGAACTTCGCATGAATAAAAAACTAACCTTTGCGGAATCGCAGTTTTGTGCACTATCATCTCGCTTCTTCTTGCCTCGAGAGCCACGAGCACTGCTTCTGTCTAGAACCTTGCTCACTGCTTCTCTCGAGGCTGCTGCAAGTCCTCTACCATTCTTACTTTCACTTGTACGCTTCATCTTAGTCTTCTCCATAAAATCCTAAGCATTAAAAAACCAAAATTTTTAAAAAAAAAAACTGAAAGACGAAGGCAATAAATTACCATTGATGAAACTAAACAGTGTTTTATTTCCAAATCCGATGATAAATTTATGTTCTTGCATTATGTCTCCAGATGACATAACCTAACCCAGAGAGACAGTTTGAAAGAAAAAACAAAAACCAAACTTCTCAACCGGAATCATATGTCGCCATTATCGGCAAACATCTCATAAAATATTACTAACAACTTCAAAGCAAGCAAGGGTTTTTTTTTCTCCTCGAGCTTCTCAGAAAACAACGCACGGAAACACAAATTCAATGTCAGAGGATACTCACCCGCGAATCGATAACACGACTCCGACACTAACGGCCGTCGGAGACAGAGATTATTCGACAGGACCGAGTGAACTTAGTTTCGCGCGCCAATTCTCTCTCGCGGTTACCAACGACCGACGTACGGCAAAACCCTCTCCGATAGAACGCTTCAAATCTCAACGTCGAGAAAGTGGGAACGTTGATTTGACCGCAAGAGTCAGCGATTTCTTAACAAGGGACCCACTAAATAAACGGCCTCGATATTGCCACGTCGTTTATCTTTTTATTTTGGTTTTCTTTCATAATTAACTACTACTTTTGGGTTAAAAAAGTAATTATAGATTTCTCTTTATGCTCTTTGTCAGACAACAATTGTATCAAATCAAACGCCATTAACAACGTTTTACACCGAATTCGCGACTGCGTTTACAAAGGCACAAATCGTTATTTCAATATATTGAGATGTAGAGATGTATCTATATAGATAGATAAATATGGTTACAAAATACAAAGTCACAAAACTTTATTTCAATATATTGGGATGGTAATATGTAGATAGATAAAATATCGTTCGTTACACAAATTACACATGACATTATATGTGTGTCTCTCAGATCTGAGCAAAACTGAAGCATCTTCCATTTTTTTTTACAATGGAAATGTAATTTTAGACATTTCTCCAACTTTCAATGTTACTGATTTAAAAGAGTCTTAGGAGGAGTCGGAGAGTAGATTATCAGACACAGAGACGGGATAGAGAAGGTAGTTTACTTACTGTGGTTCTGTAATACTAATATACAGTTATAACCATTAACCACGTTTAAAACCTCTTAAGCTTGTGCGACTAAACCCAACAAACAAATATTCGTCAAAACATTAGTTTAATGGTAGAAAATGGAGACGACTGTATATATCGTATACGCGTGGTGTTGTTTGCCCAGAAGAAAAGTAGAAAACTAGGGAGCCATCACTAAATTTTAGAACAGTGAATGAGAGAGAGAGAAAGAGAGAGAGAGAGAGAGAGAGAGAGAGTTTTGTCTGAGGCAGGAACAAGTCATCGAGTTCGAGTATAGAGAAGTTAGGGTTTGTAGGAGTTGGAGAAGGAAAACGAAGGAAAAGGGAAGTTAGGGTTTTGTTCGTTCCCGATTGGGCGATGTACATGTTGGGGAAACCCAATTCAAGGAGGAGGTGATTTTCAGACCTGAATCATGTAATGTTATTTCCCAATTTTAGGAATTTTTTTTCTGATTGTGTTTCGTTAGAGTATCTCTAAGATTCCGTGTTTTATGGGTTCGATCTACTGACAAGAAACTGGTTACGACTCTCCATGAGTTTCATTGTTGATTGATTTGATGATTTCTGTTGGGAGTTGATTACTCATTCGAGTTTTCTTTTCTGGGGTCAATTAGCATCATTATCTGATGTTTGGTTTAAATTTTAAACTTTGTTTAGTAGCTCGACCAAACTGTTGTGCAGTGTATTAATGTGTTCTTTGTCCATTTGTAACAGTTGCAAAGAGCTGGATAGAAAATTGCTTTGTGAGTCGGTCGGGCAGATTAATTTTACTGTAGATGGTGAGATTAGCTAAAAACCCCTCTTTTGCATGTTTAGGGTTAGGTCATGAAGTCGTGCAAGCTTTTGATCGTTTCACTTCTCATTGATGTCTTTTTGATGGTGAATAATCTCTGTTTCGCATTAAGAATCTGTATATTCCATAGTTATATTTGATGGTATAACAACAGAGGATAAGCGGCATATTGTATGCATCTTCAGTGGTCAATCCGTTCTTGTTGACTGAGAAATTTTTGTTTTACTAAGAATTTTTGCATTGGCTGCTGCTTTGATCTCCTTCTCAACATTCTTTGTATCTTTAAATTTCTTAATTTTGTCCAGTTTGCTTTATGATGGTGAGATAATTCACTGATCTGATTGTTTTCTCTTCTTTACTGTTCCCTATGAAGGAATCGTGGAGTTAGCTACTCATGGATAGAATTATAGCTCGTATGAAGAAATCGTCGGGTATGAGACGGGATAAGAATCCGGTGAGGAAGTTAGAGCGGCGAGACGCAGTGAAGCATATCAACTACGACGTGGCTTCTTCTTCTAGTTCGTCGGCTGAAGATGTTTCAGTTTCGACTTCTTCTCTGATGACGCGCTCTCTTGAGTTCCCTGATCGAACCAGTTTCCGAATCGTCGGAGGAGCCGATGGAGAAATGGATCGGATTTACCGGGATCTTGGAATACATGGTCCTGAAGATTTGGCCATTTCTTTCGATGCATGGGAAGCTTGCAAGATGCGTTCCGCCTCAGATGTTGTAAATAGGTACCCTTCTTTTGACCTCGGTCATCAAAAGTTTCAGCACCAGGGTTTGAGTGAAGCAGGTCCTAGTGGTGCTGCTGCTGATTCTTCGGATCGGGATATTACTGAGTTGGCGCGTCCCGAGTCGATTGTGATTGGGAGTTTCTGCAACTTAGGGAATAAAGTTGTAGAGAATAATACTGAGTTGGCGCGTCCCGAGTCGATTGTGATTGGGAGTTTCTGCAACTTAGGGGATAAAGTTGTAGAGAATAAAACTGAGTTGACGCGTCCCGAGCCGACTGTGACTGGGAGTTTCTGCAACTTAGGGGATAAAGTTGTGGAGAATAATACTGAGTTGACGCGTTCCGAGCCGACTGTGACTGGCAGTTTTAGCAACGTAGCGGATAAGGTTGTAGAGAACAAGCCTAGTCTTGAGAGAACACCGACTATTTTGGTAAAGTCAAGAGGGTATCTTCTCCCTCCCACTGATGTTGTGCCTGCTGCTGCTGCTGCTGCTGCTGCTGGTGGTGGTATAAAGGGGGTGAGACCACCGGTCCTTAAGCCTCCTCCGTCAATGAAACGACATTCTGTGGATCATCATGGATCGTCCTGGGACTTTCTTAACCATTTCGCTCCTTTAGAAAGTGAAACAATTCAGCGGCCAAGTTCCTCTTCTTCTTCTTCTTCACACAATGAAGAGGAAGCCGGGGAAGAGGTAGTGGAAGAGAAGGAAGGGAGGGAAGTGAGGTCTCTCCAGTCGGCGGATACAGCTGATGAGGCATGCTCATTCACGACAAACGAAGGTGGTGAAACCTCGAGCACAGTATCCAATGCTTCGCCTATTTATTCGTCCGGATATATCATCACGTCTTGGCAAAAGGGTGGACTTCTGGGACGAGGATCATTTGGCTCCGTGTATGAAGGCATTTCAGGGTATGTCTTTTACTGGTTGCTAATGTTATGTTCAGCTTGAAATCAGATTCTTAGTTGCAGCTTCTATATATAGACTTTAGTTGGGAAGAATTATTGGGTAAGATGAGATTTTTGAATGCGGGATGCTAAGTTAGTTGAGTTGACAGATATGATGCAAAGTGAGTTTTCATGGATGCTTTTTGATTGATGTTTATGTTAAATATAGAGATGGGGACTTCTTTGCTGTCAAGGAAGTTTCACTACTTGAACAGGGAAGCCAGGCACAAGAATGCATACAACAACTCGAGGGGGTGAGATATCCCTGGTCTATGATCCATAGCTTATTTCAGTACCATTGTAGCATTGTCTCATTGATCTGCCAAAAGTAGGTTTCGCTTAACTTCTACCACATTTTTTTCACTTTTCTACAGGAAATTGCACTTCTTAGTCGGCTTCAGCATCCGAATATTGTACGCTATCGTGGCACAGCCAAGGTATAATTAAGTTCTGGCTCTCCCGTTTCTAGTTGCAGCTGCCTAAGCTTTGCCCAATAAATATTCACGTTACCATCTTGTGGCTGTTTGCAGGATGAGTCGAATTTGTACATCTTTCTAGAGCTTGTATCCCAAGGGTCCCTTCAGAAACTGTACAAGAAATATCCCAAGCTTATGGACTCTGCAGTCTCCTCGTACACCAGACAAATTCTTGATGGTTTGAAATATCTCCACGACAAAGAATTTATCCACAGGTGAGACCAGTAGAAACTTTTCTTAACTGTCTTTCCACAAACTCTCTTGTCATCGCCTACCATATATTTCCTGGGTTGCTTACTTTCCTGATCTGATGCATCAAAGGGACATCAAATGTGCAAATATTTTGGTGGACGCTAATGGAGCTGTGAAACTTGCAGATTTTGGATTGGCAAAGGTTCTTTTCCCATTAATTTGAATGTGTATGATTTTTCCTCTTAAGTTATAACTTGGCACATCGCTTACCTCATTACTTGATTTTTGTGTCATTTTGTTATTTAGGTGTCAAAGTTGAACGACGCAAAGTCCTCCAAGGGAACTCCGTTCTGGATGGCTCCAGAGGTATTGATTATCACACTTTACCCTTACAAGCTTACACTCGTTTGATGATGTGAATACAGTGATAGAAAACCTAAAACACAATTTTGCGTTGATTTGTTACTGATGTGTGACATTGGTTGCTCAGACATATTTTGCCGCATATGTTTTGATATATAGGCTTGTTAACCTCAAACACCCCTGCTTAAGTGTCCTTTATGTATGTAAATAATCCAAAACTAGTTTTAAATATCAACTATATCAGGTTATGATACTGTAAGTATGCAAGTAATAACCACACGTAAAAGATCTTGTACTTTAGGTTATACTTGGGCGGTTGATTCTAAATGCAACATAATGATTTCATCAGGTTATTAACCTGAAGCGTACCACCGGGTATGGAAGTTCAGCTGACATATGGAGCCTCGGGTGTACTGTGCTGGAAATGCTGACTCGTCAGATCCCCTATTGCGATCTAGATAACCCCGTAAGTGTTCAAGATTCAGTGTTTATGTTTTAAACTTTTGATTTTGAAAGTTTTTGTATTTCTTTTCCTTGTGGGATTTTCCCAATAAAATAGAGTTAAAAGTCAGAGAATTTGTGAAAACGCGCAGGCTCAAGCCCTGTTTAAGATCGGAAGGGGTGTGCTTCCGGATATACCTGACACACTATCACAAGACGCTAAAGATTTCGTAATTAAGTGTCTCAAAGTGGACCCGGAGCAGCGGCCAACTGCGGCTGAGCTGCTGAACCATCCATTTGTGAGAAGGCCCTTATCATCCTCAGGCTCAGGCTCAGGCGCGGGCTGGAATGGGGTCACTCCATAGACGAGGTTAACTTAGTAGATTACGTAAATAGGTGAAAGCTTTTGGTTCTTGTGTTCATGAAATCATACTAGAGTCAGAAGATGTATATTCTGACATTTGATGTCCTAATGTACGAGAGCAGGCGTAACCAGAGAAGATTTGTGAGAGAATGAGACCCCATTAGAATCTATTGAGGGAGCCGATTCTTTGACACACACGTGTGGTGTGGTTTGGCAGGGCAGCGAGAGCTAAACTGCGTGGAGACGTATTAAGGTTGTTTCTGGCTCATCCATTGGTTATATTAGTTGTATGTTGTGTGTTGGGCTTAAAACTGGAGAGCCATATTCTTCTAGGAAAAAGATAAAAAACATTTTGTTATAGCAAGGGGAATTAGAGTGTCGATCTTGAGGTTTTGAGTGTGTATAGGTTTTGTTAGTTTTGTTAAATTATAGTGTATGTATCCCATTTGTAGTGTATGTGTATTCCATTTGAAATGTAATGTATAATTGATTTTTGATACTTCTTGTGTGTTGTAGTAATTGTGTACATCACTCCGATGGATTTAATCTCTTAGCTATCGTGTGCCACTTTGTACAATACAAGATGTAAAGACAAATATGTAGAAACAGTACCTGTTTGCGCGCAAATTCAGGTTAATAACGACCGACGTACGGAAATACCAACGACCTCGCGCGCCAGTTCTCGACGACGTTGAACGGCCTCGATATTGACATGTCGCTTTTGTTCTTCTTTCGGTTAATTAAATTAACCGATTTTATTTTGTGCTCTTTTGGTCAGTATCAAACCAACCGCACACAAACTGCTATTTCGATATATTTCACAATTACACATGACTACATATGTCTCTCTCTCCCTCTCTGATCCGAGCAAAACTGAAGTATCTTTGATAAATAATTATAAAATAAAAAACATGTTTTTTCCTCCTACAAAGCTAAAGAAAGACATGAGATTTTATGATCCAATACGATAATAAAACCAAAAGACGTGAGCTTTTTCAACCCGTCATTCCTGGGAAGAGCTGCGAAATCTTGTTGAACACATCCATTACCTGCAATCATACAAAACTCACAAAAATGAATGCCTTTACATGTTTTCAATGCAGACCAAGTAGCAGAAAACTGAGTTGTGTTTACCTCTTTGTCGTTTTGGTACTTCATAATGTTCATCGGATTCTCTGAACACTGCAACAACAACAACAATCAAACTGAGTGAGATCATATCAAAGTTTATTTTTTTCATTCAAGTTAATATATAAAATACGCACTTCCATCAACGCTGCTTGGACTCTAGGATTCTGGAATGCCATAGCAACATCAGGGTTCTCCATGATCTTAGAGATGACTTCTTCTGGAGTCAGTCCTATTTGATCTGAAGTTTCGTTTCAATCCATCAGTATTGAACCTATGTCACAACCATAGTAGTATAAGACTTTTCTTTTGGATTACTTGCTTACCGAATTGCTGCTTCACTTCAGGACTATTCAAATCGAAATTCTTTAAGGTATCCATCATTCTCTTGTCCCATTCACCACTCCCGCTCATATTATTCCTAAATCCATGGAAAAGAAAATAACAAACAAGGGTAAATCTCAAAAATATAGTCCAGATGTTCTTAAAAGCAATGGAAAGAAATAAATTTGTAAATGGAACTTACAACATATCCTGTAGCTGTTGACGGTATTGAGGATTTTTCAGCATCCCTACAAAATTCCAATCCATGGAAAGTGGAAAAGATAAATATCAAACTGTATTTTAAATCAGTATTGGATCAACCTCTATTGGGTAATATGACTAGTTCAAGCTCCATTCAGAAATGGTCAACGGTTAAACCTTCAGAAGCAATACCGAGAAGAAGAAAAAAGATGATAACAACAGGATTAAACATTAACAGACTTACATTTGAAAGTTTCTGGGTTCCTCATCTCCTCAGGCAAATGTCTGAATCCATACATGCAATGTGACCATATACCCACTTAGCAAAGAGTTTTATAAGTAAACTTAAGAATCGCATTGAAACATAATGTGGAAGGGAAGTTTAATTACGGGTAAACCATCTTCTGAACGGTTGGATCTTCCATCATTTTCTCTAAAGCTTCTACAGACAAACCAGGCCCTCCTTTCCCAGCGCCTGTGTAAACAATGGACAGACTAAGGATTCAATTTAAAAACTTGCGATTTGCGAAAAGGAAAGAGAAAGAACAATCCCGAACCAGAAGAGGAAAAATCCATGAAAAATATAGCTAGGCTAATACGCTGGTATACCAAAATCACAGATCTGAAGAAACAATCTTTCTGTACAGTTTATTTCCTGATAAAATTCTGCATAACTGATAATCATTCCATAGTGCTACAAGTCATACGCCAATACAGAGCAATGACTAACAGAGAGACACAAGTAACGGAGAGGATCCTTTCGCAGCCAAATCATTCCTCTTTATCACTAATCTAAATATCTTCCTTTGTTTCTAATTTTTGGCATAGGCTATAATATAAAATGGAAATCCCTAATCATGAAACAAGCACAGTGCACTGCAAGTGATGAAAACTGCTATTCATTAACTCACCCAAAGATTGAAAGACCTCTGAAGCAGTGGCACCACTCGCCGGAGCAGCTCCATTTTGCAAAACCTTTACCCAAAGAACAAATGAGAGAGCAGAGAAACCTCCCAAGTTAGCCAAATTATGTCAGTTTTTAAAATCACTACTTGGTGCATGTACATAAGAAAGAGAAACTTACATCCTCAAATAAGCGAGATTCTTTGGGGGCACTAGTCTCAGAGACTTCTGCATAGTTGCTAAATGGACTTTCCTTAGTGGTTTCCTCGGGGGATACATCTTCAAAGGCTGTATCATAAAGTTAAAACAACTTTCAAATTAGAAGCTAAGAAAATAAGAAATCACAGAAAATTTGAGGATACAAGAGTAATTTGATTTCTGAGACAGAAAAGAAATCTACCGTAGTTCTTTTCTTCTTTCTTCGCTTTGTTTTCCTCTAAAACAACACTTGCCTTATCCACTTCTATATTCTTGGCAGGCGCAGGTTGCGGCTTAATCGAAGGAGGTGCATCTACTTTGGTCGCTGTCACATCAACAGTAGCACCTGAAGACTGGGATTGCGATTGGAACGGTGAGGAAGTAGGACTCGACTGAGGAGGAAATGGAAACGGAAAAGGTGATCCTGATCCTGCCGGGAATCCAGGGTTGTTAAACTGGCTGTTCTGCGTATTCATCTGGTTCATCATTGTCTTCATCGCTGTTTGCATTGCATATTTCTGAAACCAAAGCAAAAGTGTCCAGAGAAAGTAACAGCTACTCAGAGAATAATGAGAGAAAGCACTGAGAACTATGTGAAATATACTGCACTCAAGATAGTTAAGGAAATGATTATCTGAGCTGCGTCACGAAAACCGTAACCAGTACATTGGTGAAGAGGAAGATAAAACACTCACCTTTAAACTTGAAGTTACCTGTAATCCCATCACAAGAAAAGAAACATCAGCTACTTATTCTTCGATATTGAAGCAAGAAAGAATATGTACAGAGGAAAAAAAAAAGGAATCTTCATACTGACCCATGAGAACAAAGCTGATAGCCCGACCCCAACACCAATCCAGAAAAGTGGTGATCCTCTACAAAAAGAGAAACATAACAAATACTTTTAGCTAGAAGAATCAAACATATATAAACTAAGCACATTGCCCAAAAACAAGCTTCAAATTTCGAGGAAACCAGGAAAGTAGTTTTAAAATTTACATGGTTGATGAAGATGGTGGTGGTGGCACTGTTGCATTAGGGTAAGCAACAGAGGTTGTCTGCTGATCACGGCTCGAGGAGAAAATACTTGCAAAAGCTTTGCTTTTGTGTCTCACAGCCACTGAGAAAGAAAGAACATAATACTAACAGTTAATGGCTTTACAGGAATTTCAAAATGCAAATACAAAAGACAAGTTTTACAACTCGCAAGTGAAGGGTTCTAAGAGATAAGCAATTCATAAGCTTTTGTTCACCGAATTGACAATTTAACACTCGATTATACGAATAAAAGTAAGAATTAGCGGAAAATTTTCGCATTCTCAATCGCAAATAATACGATTGGTATCGAGTGGAAGAGCAAACCAACCAATTTCTCCAGCGTTCTCCGAGGTGGACTGAGACTGCGCGGATGCAGAGATTTTGGAGCAACGGAGGACGATTTTAGGAGTCGGACGCGAAAACCCTACTGGGTTTTTAAGCGGGGAAGTGAAATTGCATCCGATTAACAGCTTCGGAGAAGAAGCTGAACAGGAGACTAGGGTTAGGTTCTCCATGTTTTATCGCTTCTTTGCAAGAAAGAAGCTAAAACAATTCTGGGTGGAGAAGAAGAAAGATATGATGAGGAGGAAGAAGAAGAAGAAATGAAGAAGGGACTCTTTTGGTCTGGAGCTACTGTATCCTTCAAGCACGAGGTTTGAGTTAGTAGCGGTCTTGGATCCACTGCAACCAAGTACACTGAAACTGTTTCAGGATTTTACAGGCGAGCGAGAAGTTTAACCGTCAAGATCGTTTACTTTGACCTATAATCCAAGGATACAAAACACTCCATCGTGATAATTTTAAAAGTCACCCCTTGACCTTTTTGCTTTAGTTACATTGAAGCCCGTCTCAATTTTTAGGAGCAATTTACCCCCCATTTTATAATCAAACCGATGTAACATGTCAGGATTGAACTTCTTATATTTAAGAAAAAGTGTGAAAGTTATATGTAGACTACGTCCACTTCTGTCTCGGAGTCTCTGACACTTAATAATAAGTTTAATATCATATTATTTGTATATTGTATATCTATGGAATCACTCATATGATATCATACTAGATTTGTGAGAAAAAAGACGAGATGGCTTTTGTCCCTCTCAAGTTCCCAAGTCTGCATGTAACTTTGGTTTTGAGATTTTATGTATATAAAGGTTTGCCAAACCCTAAGCAATCATATGGCTTTAACAGGATAGAGATCCTCGGTGCGCTTGTCTCCATTCAAATGATTTGGGTTCTTGCTGGTATCTTGGTTTACGAAGCCATCGTTAGACTTCACAAGGGTGGTGCCCAAGTCGAGGGATCTCTTATGTTTCTTGTCTCTGCTCTTGGTTTACTTGTCAACATCGCAATGGCTGTTCTGTTGGGTCATAGTCATGGTCATGTTCATGATCGTGAGCACCATCACCACCACGATGATGAATCAGAAACACACTTATCTCATGTTTTGATTAATAATGAGCAAAAGAGGAATGTGAAAACATTCAAGCGGCGTATCTTCACGTGCTGGGAGATTCGATACAGAGCATAGGAGTGATGATGGGAGGTGCAATCATTTGGTATAAACCGGAGTGGAACTGTGGAAGATCATTGATTTGGTTTGCAAATTGGGTGTTCTCTGTGATTATCTTAGGGACAACAATTGGAATGCTGAAGATGTTGTTGCTGTTCACATGAGCTTCACATTTGGGCCACTCTTGCTAAACTCTTGTTGGCTTGTCATGTTAAAATCAGACCCGAGGCTGATGCAGACCTTGTTTTGGACAAGATTATTCCATTATTTATTGACTTACATAACACAACATAAGTCACGAGACTACTCAGATCGAACGCAAATGAAGAAGTCGAGCGAACAAAACGTTTTTTTAACATTTCAATTCTGTTTAACCATTTTGTTAAAATATGCATCAGTGTTCGTATTTGCCTTTATACAAATGGTTTTTTTTTCTAAACTTTTTGTTCTTCACTTTGTTCTCACATGTCTTGTTGACTTCATGGTTTATTTCCTATGATATACAACTTCTATTAGTCAATAAGAGATCTTCAGTACTAAAGAGAAGAGGAGTATAACAATCGAGAATCTTATCTTTAGTCATCAAGCAATCCCGAGCTCAAGGCTAAGTATTTTAATAAATTCGAAACAAAAACAAAAAACAATTTGAGAAGGCAAAGAAACCATGTCAGAATCGAATAACAAAAGCCACAATAACGAAAACAAAGTACAAAGCTGCTTCTCAGATAATGGGCACAGAGCTTCCACATATGAGAGCTTAAGAAAATGTTCAGGTTCTTCAAGATTTAAACTAAGGAAATGTCTAATGGAGCTCAACACTGCTCTCTTCCTTGATCTAAAACACGAAGGAAAAAACATCCACTTCAAGCATTTTAGATCAAAGTGTCATCAAGCAATGCAGAGGTCAAAAAGACTTAAACCAAGAAGTACCAAATCAAATTCTCAGCCCTTCTTTTCAGTGTGGTTAAAGCAAGAAAATCATCATAGAGCAGTACCAAAAATAAAGAAAAAGCGAGTACCTAAATCATAGAAACTACAACTCCAACAAAAAAAACCTAACAGTAAAGTATTGATTGTGGAAAAGCTGCTTCTCAGATATGGGCCAAAGTTTTCCACATGAGAGCTTGAAAACGTGTCACGTCAAGTTTCAAAGAAGGAAAATGTCGACAAGAGCTCGACATTACTCTCTACCTTAATCTAAACCACGAAGGAGAAGACCTTCCAGCAACTTAGATCAAAGTGTCATCAAGAAACGCCGAGATCTAACCGAACCTTTCTCTGGTTTGAATCGAGATGTGCCACATAGTGTTCTCAAGCCCATATTTTCAGTGTGGTTAAAGCAAGAAAATCATCATAGAGCAGCCAAATGAAAGAAAAAAAAAAACATATTTCACAAAACCCAAGATCGGGAAAACAAACATGAAGGAAGATCTAGAAAAACCAAAAACAAAAAAACCAGAATAAAAAAAAACAAAGCATTAGAGAAACAGAGAAGTTGTCGAATCTCGAGAAAATGATAGAACCCACGGGAATAAAAATACCCAGAATTCTACATGTCCAGAGACTACAAACCATCACTAAAGATGTTTGATTTCGCATCGGAACGTACAATTCTTTTAAGCTACACGAGTGATAAGCTTAAAGACTCTAACACGAATCTGTTCCCTTATATGCTAATTACTTAACCTAAGATTTCCTGGCAAATTTTTCGGAGTATATAACGGAAAATGGAAAAAAAAAATCGCATCTTTTGAAAACAACAGACTGGATTTTCGTGAAGAAGAAGAACATGCGGCGGAATCAAGGACAACGTCTTGATTTATAGTTTAGGTTTTACATTGCTTTTATGGGCCTTTAGCTTCTTATCTGTAGGCCCATTGGCCCAAATTAACTTCTCCTCGAGAACTCCTCTCTTTCTCTTCCTCTTGGTTCTGTGTCCATGATTAAAACCGAAAAAAAAAATGATTTCTCATCTAATTGTCGACCCAGTAAGAGCCTCTCTCTTCAGTGTTTCATCGAATTTGCAGAGGTATGGTATCCGTTATGTCTGTTGATTCTCACTTTGGCTAAAAACGTTGTTCTTTTATTGTTCATACATACAAGTGACATAAAATTCCTTTCTTGTTCGTTTCCAGGGATTCAACAATCTGAGATTCTCCTCTGTATTAATGTCCCAATTTCTTCATTATCCTTACGTTCTCAACAAACCCTTCTCGCTTACTACCTATCGTCTCCATCTCCGTGTCACCAAGCTATAATTGTCTTAACCCAATAAGCAAAAGAAAAAAAACCTTCTTTGTAGAAATCTCGATTATACCAATTTCTTCATCCTCCATGTACTTTTCCTCTGTATTACCCTGATAATGTATAAGATGTGCCATGAACCTATCAACATCTCTCCGGCAGAGTCCGAGATTACATTCCCTGAGTTAGACCACCTCCCCTTGACGACGCGGCGAAGTTTATTGCAATCGAGTGAAAAAGTCTCTCAACGTATCGCTGATTCTGTGCCTGAGTGAGTGTTGACTATAGTTTACGTTTGTTTTTCAATCCACTACTCATTTTTGAAAGATTTTGCTTCACATATGTCTTCTTTGGTTTCTTCTCTTATGTAGATCGAATGTTGATAGTATCGTGAAAAGGGGAGATGATTGTTCTAATGAGCTGGTAATTTGGATAAAGAAATCTTTTTGTTACATTTGGTTTCTCCATTGTTGCTATTAAGTTAAGCCAAGTGGAGTATTTGGTTTTCAGGGTGTAGTGTCAAATTGTGGTCCTCCAGAATCTGCAAACACCGAAAATTCTGTATCTACAAGCATTGGTTGCAGTCAAGGTCTAAATGATTCTGGAAACCTAAGACTAAGACCACAGAACAGCATTCTAGCATGCTGTAGTAATGCCGCAGGGAGTGATGCTCTGGAACATCTCACACTGAAAGAGAGGCGCAAAATGCTTCTAGAAAGGTGCTTCATTTTGTAACTTATAATGTCACAAGCACCGAGTATAGTTTTCTGCATCTTTTCACTCGCTCGGGTTCATTTCAGTGTCTAACGGTTTTATCTTGCACACTTGTTGTTCCAGGATGGTGTCAAGGTTGCCAGAATCCAACTTAGAGGTAACAAAGTGACAAGTTTCTCCGGGTTTTGTAATTTTTTAAGTGTGGGATCTATTAGAGCTAACTAGCTATTCGCGTTCAGGATAATACTAAAGATTGCGATGAAACCAGTTTTTATAAAGTAAAAGCTGAGGCTCCATGCAAAAATGGGATAGCTTCGTCTTCTGAGGCCAAGTTGAATGGCTTTATAGAGAAAATTGATTCTTTCCTCTTTAAAAAGGCTGTGATGGGTTCAGAATCGGGAAGTCAGCTTAGTGGAAGTCAAGAGAGTGATATTCCGATTGCTCTCGAGAGGTCTTTGAAGTTGTCCCCCGAAGCCAGTCCGCTTGAGTTATCCAGTAGAGATCACGAACACTCTCCATTAACTAGCAGCGGTTATGCAGCTTCAGCAGAAAAGCCGATAAATAGTGTAAAGAGAGTGAAAAGGAATCCACTTCCTTTTAATGTGAGTGAAATACAGTCGGATCAAGTAAAGGTTGAGTCTCTAGATGATTGCGTCATGGAGAACAATGACGAACGAGATCCTGTTACCTCAGAGCAAGTACAAGTCAAAAGAGAGGTGAAAACCCTTGATGAAGAGCTAGACTGCGCGAAATTGAGCTGTCGCTTGAATCTTTGTCCGAAACCTCCTAGGTTTGTGAAAAACGAAGCAGAGACCGCTAGTGAATTGGATGGAGATGAGATAGACCACATGAAATTAATTGATCGGTTAAAGCTTCGATCTTTTCATGGTTCAGGTCATCATGAAGATCCTAATTCTCCGTCGTCAGGTTTTAGCTTCTGTACATCTGACGAATACGTTAAACCATTGAGGATACTGCGTCCATGGAAGCGAAAGAAAACCGCCACGTGAGTCTCGCTGCTGTATCCGTTTGTGTTTATGATTATTTCTGTTTATATTGTGATCTTATTATATGAATTAAGTATTACAGGGACTCAATTGAGACAGCTCTGGAGGAAGATGCTCCTGGTCTTTTGCAGGTATCATGGTTTTCTTCTCAAAAGTTGAATTTAACGGAACTTCTGCAATTTTTAAGATTCCTTCCCTTGTTCGAATCGCGTATTTGCAGGTACTGACTCAACAAGGGGTATCAGTAGATGAACTTAGGCTTTATGATGCAGGTGGAGGTGACTCCTCAGATGATTCACTTCTCGAAGAGAGCTTCTCGGAGCTCGAAGATGTGATCTCTCAGGTAAACAAAAGAATCCTTGTATTTAGTTTTTACAAAGGTAGCTTTTCTCCCGCCATGTGTCAAAAGATTGAATCTATTTAAAAAAACTATCAGCTTTTCTTCAAACGCGGGACGGGCCCGAAACTCGTTAGCTTAAGCTTTTCAAAAGCTTCAAGAACTAGCTATTGCTTGACCTGTCTGTTCTCCCTCATCGAACAGGTACATTAAACTCTGCATCCCTGTCTTCTCGGTTTTTGATATCTCTCTCTCTCTCTCTCTCTCACCCTAACACTTGCTTCCTTTTGTTTCAAGGCTCGATATTTGCGGTTCCGCAAATGGCCTGTTGAATGGGGCTGGTGCCGTGATCTCCAGTCTTTCATATTCGTTTTCGAGAGACATAACCGGTAAATCAAACTCTCTTGTGTCTCTTTTGACATTGCGGCTAAAACTAAAAGTTTCATCGATCTTTCTTTCTTTGCTTGGATACAGGATAGTAATGGAACGGCCTGAATATGGCTACGCAACATACTTCTTCGAGCTCAGCAGCACTGCATCAATCGCATGGCAGATCAAACGGTTAGTCTTGGCCATGAAATTCGCGAGCTGTGGCCGATATCAAATGATTGAAAACAAGCCATTACTGGTAAACTCTTCTCTCTCTCACCGGCTAGTATGAATCCGAAATGGTCTTTAACTACATTCTGAACACTCTCTGTAACTCGGGTGGTTTTAAAAGGTAGGAGAAGATATGACGGAAGCCGAAGCGGAAGTACTGATGAAGTACGGTTGGCTTGCCAACACGGGACTAGGGACAATGCTAAACTACCGCGATAGGGTCTTCCACGACAGGAAGAGCCAGAAAGAGACATCGGAATGGAGATCTAAGATCTCTAAGCTTCTTGTTGATGGCTACAACAGTGGAACCATTGTCTCAACTTTCATTTCTCATCATGATGGCGATGATGATGCCGGGCTTGACGTGGGCGATGTTAAGCTTGAGCCTTATTGAAACTGTTAATCTCTTGATGACAATTAGTTTTCTTGTTTGTAGAGTTTTTAACTGTCCATATGAAACCTCAGGGATTGTTTATTGATTTGATCAACTAAATTTGGTGGAAATTGTTAACATTCATCAAATACAGTTTTTGCGTTTTAAATCCCAATAAATTTTGACATCATATTTCGCTGCAGTTGTCTCTCACTAGTCACTATACATTTGTAGAACCGAGGAGAAGCCTTAGCCCATGATGGTTGTGACTTGTGAGTTATGAGAAGTATAATCGTGGGCCTATTGATATAAGGGCAAAGTCATTGTGCACTTTAGCTTATAAAGATGATACGGCCAAGTGTAGGCGTTAGAGAATTTTACTTTTGCGCGTGAGACAAGAAAATGTCTCATCACGTCAAGATAGACTTTGTATAGCCCAAATATCAATGAAGACTTGATTCCATTTACATTTTACACAACTAAAAGATTATTCATTTTTTTGTCAACCATGTCAAAAGGTTAATACAACATTGTTTTATATATATTTTCTATATAATGATTATACTTTGCAGTATTTGAGCACATTAATGACGATGTGTCAATTGCGAGATAAAATTTTAGTTGTGATAATTGAATAATTACATGTGATATGTATACATGTAGGTATGTTTATATAGTGGGTAACTTTTGTAAAACGGATTATACTTGTGTTTCTAAAGGTGGGAAGTTTAGCCAATCTGTCACAATAAGTAAGAGAACGAAACTAAACTATACTCACTCATTCACCAACTTCAAATGTATTATAATCATTGTTGTCGTTAAAAACTTTTCTTTTTCTACAATTTATAAATAAAATAATCCACCAACCTAACTATAAATTATTTAAAATTCTCGGAAATTTAAACAATTCCTTTATCTTCTACCTTTCTCTTCTCTTTTATCCATCATTCACAGTTCCACTATAACCCCTTTTGCTCTTCTTTGTGACAAGTCATGTCTAAGCAATGATCATATTTGTTATGAGAAAGGTTCATATACATGCACTCTTTTCCCCACTTTCATTGTGTTTTATAGTAATTCTTAATAATAAAACATATATAATACACTTTATGGTATAAAAAAGGCATTCATTTTTTTATTCAACCGAATTATCTTAAAAAAAATAGGATATTCACAATTATAGCATGGAGAGGTTATGTGATTCATTCATCTAAAGAGCATTTATCATCAACATGTTCTTTCCTAATAGAATGAAAGCCATGTAAGAGTGATGAAAGAGTGATGTTATTCTGTGATAAATCAAAAGTAGGAAATATCGATAATTCTTTTTGACAAAATGGTTTGGTGAAGGTAGTTACCGCATGTCTATCAATCTTATTCACTTGTGGTCCATTGTCTTAACTTCATACACATACAAATACATAATACAACAATAGGACCAGTCATATGGGCACAGCCTTATGAAGCCACCGCAGCCCCTAATTCATGGGGTCCTACATAAAATATATTAGATTTACATACATGTGTTTTTTTTTGGATTGAAGGGATGAGTCCACTAACAAACTTAACATTTAAATAAAGAAATTATATGAAAATACTAGTTTACACAACAACAAACACTATAAAATAGAGAAATTATACGTCGAAAAAGACATGATATTGAATTTTCTTTACTAAAAATACCATTTATTTTAAATTAGATTTGCTCCTTATTTGCTAAAAACAATATTGTATTATGTTTATAATACTCACGCATAACATAAAAGAAGTTTGTCATATGTTATACGTCATGATCATCAATCATCGTGTTTACTTACATATTTTAACATAAATATATTACTAAATATCAATCCACTATCCATAAATAGACAGAATTTATTACTTCTTGTATTCAAAACCACGACAATAGAATATATATATGCAGCACGATAAAAAAAAAAACCTTTCAAAAACAAATTGAAATAGAAATTATAACATCTTTTTTTTTTACGGCAACGAAATTATAACATATATGTGTATAACTTTTTTAGATTGGAAGCATATTTTGATTGATATTTTCCTCGCCACCGAACTAGTGATATCTGAACTGTGGTCGTCTTTCGAATGATTCAGCTAGCCAATAAACAAATTATGTTATCTACACTATATTATGTAAACGTGTTCTATCTCTTTGTCCAAAAAAAAGTGTTCTACATTATTCTCCTTATTTCGTTTAAGGACCTGCATATGCCAGCATCGAGACATGCGTGTGTTGACGATAAAAGACATACACATGTGTCGTCAGCACTGTACACATATATATACCATATATATTTTAATATTTATATGTAAGTATTATGCATAATAATTGTAGTTCCAGTTGATATATCATACATGCGTGGGTCGGTGTATATAATTCGTACTTTTTGAAAACATATTTGATTTTTTTTTTTGTCTAACAAACATATTTAATTAATCTCGTCGGACCAAGGATGTGATTACTTTTGAAAAATATACTCGAATTTCGAGTATTTCAGATTCATTTAATATGTGAAAAATTGATCGTACGTGAACCAATTTTCGATCCATTTTTTAATGCATTATGTCAGAATCTGAGCCTCCGGGTGATTTTAACCGCCTGTTAGACGAGTGTTTGTCACTGATACATTAAAAATCACTAATTCTAATTAACCGCTAAAATATGTAAGTCTAATTAAGTCTGTTCAAATCAATTATACTCCATATAATTTGAATAAGAAGTGAGTGTAGAGGTCGATGGTCCACCACATGCTTTGAACTTTGAACGTCGAGAATCATTTGGTAGGTGGAGTTTATTAATAAATCCTAAGAGATCCAATCATGATTGTGAATTTGTGACGTTGTTTTGGTGAAGTCTATCATATAAATAGCAATGTGCAATGGACTGCATCACCATGACGCCATCATCGTATCATCATTTAGTATTTTTCCAATTTTTTTCGAACAACCTTACGTGTTTACAAGCATTCTCCAACGTTTTTTCTTTGTATAGTGGAACTAATCTATATACAGTAGTTGTCAGCACAAGAACAATTAAAAATAAATCCGATGAATCTTAGAAGATTAAGGTTTAACAACTAAGAATATATATATATATATATATATATAATCGATAACTTAATGAAGTGATATATGGAATTTAATTAGATATTTTTTATTATGGAGGTTGTTTATCGGCTTATTGCGAATATAACTGAATAGCCTAATTTTTTTTATCAATAATATATAACATGTACGTGGATTTCACTCCAGACCATTATATAATACATGTTTGATATGGTGATAATAAAATGGAAAGACACCAGTGCGCATATTGACCACAAACCTTTGTGCGACTAGAGAGATATGTTTCTCAATGCATTTTGAAGTATGTCTGTCTATTTTCGATTAGTTGGTCTGACAGTAAAGAAATTGATCAAGAAATTTATTATTATTCTTATTATCTGAATAATATCAATTGGTATATATAACTATTTTTCCATTAAAATGTAATACATTTTAACAGAAAAAGTATGTTCACAATTGCAATCTTTATTACATGTATTTTACACCTAGTCATCCACTAAATTGCAACACCGGCCAAACCCAAATCCCCCACTTCAGAAACAAAGCAAAAACAAAACTAATTAAGAAAACAACAAAGGAGAAAATAAATAACGTTAGAGGAGATCAAATGTCCATGAATCTTGATCTAAAACCATTCTTGAACATCCACTACCATTTCCAACAACACCATTATCATGATCATTCATAAACAACTCCAAGCTGATCAAATCATTGATTTCCCACAAATTCATCGAATCAACATTGTTGTTGAGCTTTCCGTCTTTGTAATTAATGTTAGCCTCTAGTGAATCATCGGATGAGAGCCACTCGAGGTCAATAGTCTCCATTTCATCAAGAAACTTTGAGAACTCATGATCACCCGGTAGTGATGATATATACGACGAGGTAGAAGAGGAAGAGGATGAAGGCGTTGTGGAGTTACTAATGTTAATGTTGGCATTATCATCATTAGTATGATGATGAGCAGAAGAGATGTCCATCAAGATCTCATGTGGATTGAGCAATGGGACTTCATCAATGCAAAACCCATCATCAATAGAAATTGATGTCATGTTCTTGTCTAGATCTTTCCCTAGTTGATGTTGCTCTTGTTCGTCTTTAGCTTGTTGATCTTCTTGATCTTGTTTTGCCTTCTTTTCATCATGAGGCACTAAGCTTTTCTTGCTCCCTTGATCTTGTTCAGCGAGAGGTTTATGGGTCAAAGGGTCAATACCCATCTTCCTTAGTTTTTTCTTTATGTGTGTGTTCCAATGGTTCTTTATTTCATTATCAGTTCTTCCTGGTAGATGAGAGGCAATTTTTGACCATCTGTACAAAAAGTAAAAAAAGACTCAAAATCTTATAAGTAAGAACTTGACTAATGATTTTGACTGTTCAGTCATTTTCATCAGACCGACTAAATTAAACTACTGTGGTTAAAGAAAGTATGACTAAATAAAGCCAATCTCTTTCATGCATTGAGTTTTGTGTTTCTCCGACACCTTAATAACAATATTGAAATATAATGGCAATAATCTTTTTATATTTTTATTATTATGAGTTAGTTACAATGTCACAGTTAAGGTAAGTAAATGAATATTTATAGTTTTGAAAAGTGATTTTTAAATATAATAGCAATTAGTTTCAAGAGAAAGAGAATAAACCTATTGCCAAGTTGGGCATGAAGATCGATGACCATTTGTTCTTCATATTCTGATAAAAGACCTCTTTTTAAATCAGGTCTTAGATAATTTATCCATCTTAATCTGCAGCTTTTACCACACCTCAATAGTCCTGCATTTAGTTAATAACCAACGATCAGATTCGTTGAAAGTTTATATATACAAAATATAATTGATTAAGAAAAAATGAATAAGAACAAATAATAACGTGTGAGGACCACGAGTATCAAAGCAATCTGATTTCGGGCAAACACTATGATTAGTATGAATAAAGTGGAAATGGAAACTTTGAACAGAGGCTTTCTTCAAACGGCGTCGTTTTTGTAGGAAAGAAAGAAAGAAAACAAACCAGAAAGCTTGGGAAGAGCTCTCCAACAGCAGTGGCCATTGGTGAGGATGAAGTTGATGAGCTTCTTGTCTTCTTCAACAGTCCATGGCCCTTTCTTCAACCCTACTTTGTCACAACATGGTTGCCTCCCCATCTCTCTCCTCTCTCTCTCTCTTGCTATAAATATATATATGTATAGAGAGAGAGATGTGCTCAAATAGGTATACCTAATATACTTATAATGTTTTGTTTCCAAGACTTAGGAAGCTACACAACACAACAACCTATATATAGAGAGTGAAAGATTTCAAAACCATGTTTGTGACTTTGTGGACCTACATTTCTTCGCGTATCTTCTATTAATTGTAGATTTTATCCAACCTTATAGTGTTTTTAATCCATATTTTACCACATGGTCGTAAGTGTTTTATTAATTTTTTTTTAATATTTAAATCATATATGTCAGTTTATACGGACTATCGCATTCGTACCTACATAACACATACGGTTGTAAAATAGTAAAAAGTAAAAACCATTAAACTGAAAAAGAGCCAATTACGTAAGGTCGATATAATTGGAGTGAAACCCACATTTTATTTTTTTTGTCACGGAGTGAACAAAAATGTGATGTTTTTATCAGACAAAAAAAAATGCGATGTATTGTAATATGGTATAAGGAATATACGTTGATGTTTGATGGCTGTAAGACACGTGTAGGCGACTTTAATCACGCGTAAAGAACTCGGCAGACAAAATACCTCATATGAATATCATCCGTATTTGTCTTCTTTGCTTGCTTATGTCTGAAAATTCAAATCTCATAATTCAAAATCAGAGTTTAGTTTTTCTCAAATCTAATCTTGTAATTTAGTATGATTGGCGCGTTTTTGTAAGCACTAAGTGCCAACACAAACTTACAGTATCATGACGTCATCTTAGTGTTACGTTCCCAATAAGCAATCTTCGACATAATTTGAATTGGCAAAATTTAGAATCACAGAACTAGTGGATAAATCATGGGCCCATAATTCATTCAATAATGTAAAATGGGCCATACACTTAAAAAATGGCCCATGATAAAGTTTAGTATTATTGGACCGGGCTGAAACTTAACTTGCATCAGATTCCAATAAATTAAGTTTTGCAATTTTTAATTTTTTAACGGATCAGCATAAACGGATACCAAAGTCCAGCTCATGGGAAGACAAAAACGATATACAGAAGGAGATAAATAAATCTCACAAGTCACAACAACTATGTTATTAAAATCTCACAACTACAAAATCCCAAGAAATCTAACAACTCGACAAACTGTTTCAACTGATACGTAAATGAATTGATGTAACATGGAATGGAAAATTAACTTAAATTTTTGACATACATTTGTGGAGATCTTTAAATAGAAAATTCATCACGAATTTATATTGTTTACTTTTACCCTTTTTTGCCAACAATGTTTTTACTTTTTATCGTTGGCATAATTATTGACATTGGAGAGAAACCGCGTCCAATCCTGTCTCGATGAGGTGGCCATGTTGTGTACCCTGTCGGTTTCAAACAAACTTACAATATTTTCTTATACAGTATATATCTCACGAGAAAAAAAAATATATATATATTCAACCATCACGAGACTACATAAGTGATAAGTGTTTTATTAATCCACGTATATGCATCTTAATTATCTGTTTTTTATAAAGATATCTTATTTGGATTGATCATCTATACATCTAATTAGGTTTTGTTTAATTTTCGTACGTTAGAACTGGATTTCTATTTGGATTATGTGTGTATCATTATTTCGTCATCGAACATTTGATGGCACCTCAATCAATTAATTTATCAATTATTTTTCCAGCTCATGTATTATTGGTATGCATAATCTTTGCATATATATATTATTATGGTTGTTAATTATTCTCATATACGAAAACAAAAAGTTATTATCATATTCGGCAACCATGTTCAAAAAAACTACAAGGAATAAATGGTGGATTGAGGATTTTTATGAGCTGGCAAAGGTTATAGTTTATAATTTGAGGAAAATGAACCACAAGTTGTAAAGGCTTAAAATATTTTATATGGATTTGACAGGGTAAGCCTAAGATAAGATATGTATAGCATTTTCTTGGGCAAAGGTATTTGTCACAATAAAATAAAATTAATACACTTACTTGTATATACATGTGCATGTGAACCCACATGGATATGATGAGAAAAATGCTTTGTCCATGACTAGGTGTAAAATGATTCATGCCATCTGAAAACACTGATCAACGAGTAATACATTAATATTAATCGGGTCATCTAGATGGTTAGTGAGTTAATGGCGTCATACCACATATAATTGTAAAATTCCAACGAAATATTTTTCACAAATCAATTATACTTGGATGATATGGAAAATGAAACCTGTTTTTTTTTTTTTTTTTTCTCACAACATAAAAAAAATGACAGAAACAAATGTTTCGTTTGTATTCCATTGCAGTTAAAGTTATCACTTTATTTATAATACATACTTCTCTCGTACGAAGTCGCAAAGCATATATACATATTTGTAGCTAACAAGTAAGAGTAATCATCATATTTAACAAATTTAGTTACGCTAGTTGATGGTGATATCATGATATAACTTTAATGATATGAAATTTAACAAGATCGACCAAACATTTTAAGTGTAGATTGCCATCGATTTCGCTTAAACTTCCAAACTGGACCAAGATCAACAGCTAATTCTTAACAAACATTTTTTAATCTCAACCAATAGATAATTAAAGATAAGTATATTAATTTAGGTTATATATGAATGATGCACCAACTTACTCTTTCATGCATTAAGTCCTTAACTGTTTCCTGAAACCACCATGTATGTCTTGATGGATACAATTTGTAAAGTTATCTTGTATTCAGTTTTATTCTTAAAGAGACTCATTCGAAATTTTTACTTTAAAGGCATAGGAAAGAAAGATGAAGAAACTTTTGTTTTAATGGCTTTACCAATCATCTGAATTTGAATTTGAAAGGTGGGAGGGATAACTTGGCAGATTCAACTAAGCAACTTAAATAGACCCGTTACCTAAAGTTATATATATTTTCATGGAATTTGTAATATGTATTTAGATACTTAGTCTTAGTCACCTTTCGAAATAAAACTTGAAATTGAAGAAAGACAGAATTTATTTGTCGTTGACTTTTTCTGACTGGTCGGAGTTGGGGAGAAAGAAACAAACTTAGTAGTAGTATTTATCAAAAATATCATTGTTTCTAACCTTTTTTTTTGTCAACTTTTGTAGTTTAGTAATTTGACAAAAATATTTTATGTTCCTGCCGTTTTATTGCATAGTTTGGTTAGAAAGAAAGAGTCAGTAGGTTTTATGGGGCGGCCAATAGAAAAGGAGACATGGGCGGCCAATAGAAAAGGAGACATATCGTATACTTTTGGTCCCGCACTCATACAATGATATATATTTAAACAATTCGTCAAAACTATGAAAAAAAATTAAGAAACACCAAAAAAAAAAAAAAAAAAAAAAAATCAACGTATTTCTCAACTGACCAAGAATCACCAAACAACTATTTAAAGAAATTAAAATTAAGACCAAACAATTTTGAAATCGATCAATTTAGACCCCACCTTGAAAAAGAAGATCAATCAGACAAAGGACCTGGTGAACCAGACGAAGGTGAAAGCTCCTCAATGAGCCTCGTGACTTCAGGCATGGAAGGACGACTATCTGGATATTGAGCCGTACAACTTATACCGATCTTCAAAAGCCTGATCATGTTCTCATTGCCCTCCGCTTGATACCTTGTTAGCTCTGGATCGAACACATCTATCGGTGATTGTTGTTCAGTGATAGATGAAACCCATCTCGGTAAATCTACTCCTTCTTCGTTTAACTGCTGATGCGTTGGAGATTTCCCTGCAAAACAATAACAAAAAGAACCCATTTTTTTTTTGTAAAAACCACATTTTGACAGATGAAACGATAGATCCAAATGTGGTTTTCAAGATCTCTCATTGTGTTCTGTACCTGTGAGTAATTCGAGAATGAGAACACCGAAGCTGTAAACATCAGCCTTTTGGGAGATTCTACGAGCATCGGTTACTTCAGGAGCACGGTAACCATCAATGCGGTTTGGTGTAGATGTGGGACTGATCATAGGAGCAAGACAGTAGTCAGAGACCTTAGCTTCATAGGATTGAGACAAGAGGATGTTAGAAGATTTGATGTTTCCATGAGATGTTGTCGCGTCACGCGAATGGAGGTAACTAATCGCTCTCGCAGCTCCTAGCGCTATACCGGCTCTTGTTTCCCAGTTCAGTGGACTTCTACCACTTCCTTTGTTCCCTGTAGATTCCAAAGAAATTGAATCTAAAGATCACTAAAAGAATCTAAATTGCGCAAATCTGAAACATTGAAAGGAAAGGTTTTGTACCGTGTAAAAGCGCGGACAAGCTTCCTCTAGACATGTACTCGAAAACAACGAGCTTTTCATCAGGACTGAAGTAATAAGCGATCAGTGTCACGAGATTGACATGGCTTATTGATCCAAGAACCTGAAGTTTCTCTCTAAACTCTTTCTCAGGCACCACTACATCTCTCAGCCGTTTCACAGCCACCACTAGTCCGTGGTCGAAGCTCGCCTTGTACGAAGATCCAAATGTTCCTTTGCCAAGAACTTCCGCAGAAGCTTTGAGCAATCCATCGAGATCGAATTCGCCGAATGATTTCACGAAAAATGTAAGATCTTTACTCACTGCAGGGTTCTTTGATGCACCATTCTCAGATGGCGGTGGTCGACCGTTAGCCACCGGAGGAGGGACATTGGCCGCCGCCGTTTCCTTTGCTACGGCGGCTGATGAGGTGGGAGCAGGAGCTGCTTCCATGTCTCTCGACTGGACATTGTTCTCTTTCTTCTTCTTTCTGCAGAGACAGAACAAGATCAACAAGAACAAGAGAAGCCCGACGAAACAAGCAATCACTATTCCGGCAATAACTCTGGCGGATAACTTGTCGCTTTTTCCTTTTCCGGTTGTCTCAGTGCCGTTTCCGTTGATGGAGCAAGCGTCTAACGGCTTCCCACAGAGCAAGTTGCCTTCAAAAGCGGTTTTGGGCATACCCGACAACGGATCCGGTATCGACCCGTTTAATTGATTCGAGGAGACATTGAATTGCTGAAGCGGAGTCTTAATGTCCGGGATCGGACCTGTGAGCTGATTATCCTGCAGGTAGAGAGTAGCTAACCGAGTCGCCGAGTTGACATTGTCCGGGATCCGACCCGAGAAATTGTTCTGTGCAAGGTTGATCCGAATCACGTTAGGTAAAGTGAAGAGAAACGAAGG